TTCACCTTTTAAGTTGAATTACTGAAATAAATGAACTTTTGCACCATATTCTAATTTTTCGAGTTTCACCTGTATTTATTGTGGATACTGACATATATTGTGTATAGTTCACCTAAAAAGGAAAAATTCAAGTTTTCAGAGTTTTAGTGTGAGTACTGCATTAAACTACTTTATATAATGGTGAATATAATGTATAATAAAGCAACGGGGGAATATTTGCGGGTCTTGATATTGCCATATTGTTTATGTTACTAGTAAAACGTGCTACATTATATTAAATATATCTAGTCAGTGAAAGTGTGCAAGCATATTATTCATCTAAAATAATTCGGTATTTTCAGCTTCAGAATTATGAATATTGTTATTCTGGTGTCTTTATGTTCCTGTTGATTGGGTTTCCAGAATCAAATCCAATCCTATTCATTTACACACACAATGTAATATCAATTTAGCATTTTAATGGGAAAATCATTTGAATCCCTCTTTTAATCCCTAGTCTTCACTTTAATGAGGAGATAAATCGCTTTTGTTCACCTTTGAATCGTCTCTTTGAATCAGGGTTTTTTTTTTTGTCTGAACATTTGTCTGAAGAATTTATATTCTACATTTAGATGCAGAAAACAAAACAAACAACTGGGTTATTATAGTTAACTACAACAAAATTTTTACTAAAACCATTTTTTTTCCCAAAAATTCTGTTACTTCAAATAAAATAAACGTTAACTCAAATCAAGTGTATTTTTTTTATTTTATTTTAAAATTTTATTTTTTATAATAAAATAAAAAGGGTGGCACTTTACAATTAGGTTTCATTAGTTAATAACTTTAGTTAACAAGAACTAATAATGAACTGCACTTCTACAGCATTTATTAATCGTAGTTAATGTTAATTTCAACATTTAATAACACATGATTAAAATCAAAAGTTATGTTAGTTAATGCACTGTGAACTAACAATGAATGACTGTATTTTGATTAACTATTATTAACAACGATTTAATTTATGACATCTTATTGTAAAGAGTTAAAAATCAATGAAAATCTATTTTCAATGACAAAAACACAAAAAATTACTACAAATAAAAAATATCTAAAAATTACAAATATTAATAAAAACTGTAATAGAAAGTAAATTATAAATTGTAACTTGAAACTTTATGGCAGTGGCTTGAAAGCACTAATGCACTATTTTTCAGAAATTCGTGCAATAAATGCATCCCATTCAAAGCATATTAACTGGTCAAATCTTTGATAGATTAAAATATTAACGATACACTATTAATCCACTCTTACTCACAGGCGGATCAGGATATTCCCGGTGAACTGCTGATCTTTGCTCTTCATCCAGAGAGCAGAACGCAGGTGTTGGTCCAGGAGAAACACAAGAGTCCTCTGTTCACTGTGAGGAAAACACTACACACACTCCAGCTCACACACACACACACACTTTCACACTGATTCAGCCCATGTAGTTTCTAGAAGCTGCGGTTTCAGTCCAGAAATGGCCAGTGAGGATCTTCAGGAATATCAGCAATGCTCCGTCATATTCCTCCTCGTCCTGAATGCTGAATCTCCGGATGAATAGAGCATCTGTGACTGAGGCACTTCCACATCCTCGAAACACTGGAACAACACAGCCTTTCAAACCAGTCTGACACACACGGCCCTCTGAACCCACAGGTGGCGCTGATGTGCAAGACATATATCTGCTTATTCGGGATGAGCGCGACAATTAGCTTATTTACTAATAAAAATACATAATATCTGTAATCCACGTGTGCAGATTTAGTTGTTTATCTTATAAAATGTTATATTATTATATGTATTGCAATCCTTTATAAATTATTTTTTACATAATATTGAAAATTTCTTATGTAAAATATTGTATTTTTTTTCATTAAATTTATTAAATTTGGTTATTTACATATATTTGTCTGGTGTTAGTCTTTTTTTCTATAGACATTAATCTTGCATGTTGTGCATTTTATTAATAATTTCAATAATATTTAAAATTTCTTATGTAAAATATTGTATTTTTTTCATTAAATTTAGTAAATTTGGTTATTTACATATATTTGTCTGGTGTTAGTCTTTTTTTCTATAGACATTAATCTTGCATGTTGTGCATTTTATTAATAATTTCAATAATATTGAAAATTTCTTATGTAAAATATTGTATTTTTTAATTAAATTTAGTAAATTTGGTTATTTACATATATTTGTCTGGTGTTAGTCTTTTTTTCTATAGACATTAATCTTGCATGTTGTGCATTTTATTAATAATTTCAATAATATTGAAAATTTCTTATGTAAAATATTGTATTTTTTAATTAAATTTAGTAAATTTGGTGATTTACATATATTTGTCTGGTGTTAGTCTTTTTTTATTTAGACATTAATCTTGCATGTTGTGCATTTTATTAATAATTTCAATAATATTGAAAATTTCTTATGTAAAATATTGTATTTTTTAATTAAATTTAGTAAATTTGGTGATTTACATATATTTGTCTGGTGTTAGTCTTTTTTTATTTAGACATTAATCTTGCATGTTGTGCATTTTATTAATAATTTCAATAATATTGAACATTTCTTATGTAAAATATTGTATTTTTTTAATTAAATTTAGTAAATTTGGTTATTGACATATATCTGTCTGGTGTTAGTCTTTTTTATATAAACATTAATCTTGCATGTTGTGCATTTTATTAATAAATTACATATTAAGTATGGGGACTTATTTCAGTCAATTAATATTGTTAGAATATAAATATGTCTAAGCAGACAATCACGTTACACAATAAATACCGCCTTACGTGTTCCTGAGCGTTAAAGTGATAGTTCACCCAAAAAATGTCATTCTGTCATCATTTACTCGCCCTCAAGTTGTTCTAAACCTGTATGAGTTTCTTTCGTCTGTTGAACACAAAAGAAGATATTTTGAAGAATGCTGCAACCAAACAGTTTTTGGTCCCCATTGACTTCCATAGTATTATTTTTTTTCTATACTATGTAAATCAATGGGGTAGAGCTACTTTTTTACTGTGATGTGCCGGAAGCCTAATTCTGAATTCGGAAAGGCACGGAAAATGAAAAACGCATTCTACGGAGCCCCTAAAGGGACATGGTTAGGCTTACTGTGGTATTATTGACAAATATCTAATCTTGTATCTCTGTATGTTTTAAGAATAATAAAAAAATAAAAATCTAAACTTGTAAAATGTGTGGATGAACACACCCCCATACGCGTGATCTCAAATTGGAAGTGATTTCAAGACCCCGCATTGAAAGCGGCTTCCTGATATCCACAAATTAAATACAATATAATTACCCAGATATATAATTGCGAGAGAATGCAGAAGAATTGAAGTATTTTTTATTTTTACTCCTGTCTAATGTTTTCCCCATCACCATGTCCCTCTAGAGGCTCCGTAGTACATGTCATTTCCGATCGGTATTCCCATTCTTCAAAATATCTTCCTTTATGTTAAACGGAATAAGGAACATAATGCAGGTTTAGAACAACTTGAGGGTGAGTAAATGATGACAGAATTTGTATTTCTGGGTGTACTATCCCTTTAAGACTGTCTTTGGCGGTCTAAATGAATCATACTTGTGGAAACTTTTAAACTTTAAAAAGTACGTCTTTAAATTAAACTCACCACTTGGCTTTCTGTCACGTCCAAATTAAACTGGAAAATGATGAGGTGATTGAGATGTTTTTTTCAGTCAAATTAAAGGCATCCATGCCTGAGACCATCATGATTGTTTATCGAGCATTTGAAGATCAATTCACAAAAACATACAAAATCAGAAATTTGTTTCTGCATTCATAATAAATATAAAAATGCTTAAAATCCTGACCTCACCATTTCAGAACACCACAGTACACAATTGATAGATATTGACATAGATTAGCTATAATTATATATTTATTAATAATATAAATGATAAATTCGTCGTGGCATTGTGACGGTTTTATTTTTAGGCGCCGCGGGGGGCAGTGGCGCGAATGTGACAGGCGACGTCACAGACACGTGCCCGATCACGTGACCCCCCGGAGCCGCCGCTGCTCTGCTGCTGCTGCTGAAGTTTCTATGATGGCGGCCAGTAATTATTATGGATTCACACATGCAGCCGCTGCTGCCGCCGGCCCGCAGTACAGGTACAGGATAAACACATGTGCATTATCACATCGCTTATTTACAGCAGGCACAGAGCCACAAAACATATGTGTTGAGGACGGCCAGGGCTGAAATGTCCATGAGCTGCTGTTGTTTGTGTATTTATTGATGCTTGCATGATTTTCTAATATCGTGAAAGTGTGTTTGCGGGATATATGCGAGTGCTAGTATAAGTACGATGGTACTGTCATGTTTATTGACAGCTAATACCTTCCAGAATATCATGGTACTACATAATGTAAATACCATGGTAAACATATAATTGTCATTGTAACATTTTACTCTTATAAGCACTGTAAATGTATCATATAAATTGCGCATATGAAAGTACAATGTTTAAAATTATTGAAAGTACCTCTGTACTCTTTTTTTGTACTCACGTGGTATTTTGGACATTTGGGGTCATGCACTATAAACGTTTGGAATAATTCGGATTTTAAAAATATTTTTGAAAGATGTCTGTTATGCTCACCGAGGCTGCATTTATTTGATTAAAAATACAGTAACAGTAATGCTGTGAAATATCATTACAATTTAAAATGCATGTTTTCTATTTCAAAATATTAAAGGTAGGGTAGGCATTTTTTTTTGTTATTCTGGTTGAAACTCTTCACATTCTGATAGCAATCAATGATATAACTGGTCTAAATATATATGTAATTTTATTTTTATTTTTATTTTTTTACTTAATCTTCTGTGGAAGTCTCAGGACCAAAAAATATTTGTCCAATCATTGCATTCAGTCCGAATGTTGTAGACAGTCAGTCACCGAGCACCACAAAAAACCAGCAGTCACCTTTTACAGCTCCTCCTGAACCCAAACAACAAGCTATGCTGCGTTCACACCATGCCGTAACCGTAATTATGACATCGCAACCCGTGACGTGCTACCCGGAGACGTTCTTGTTCTCAGAATCGTATAAGCATTTCTATAATGGATGCACAATATATCGGCCACAATATCGGTATCGGCCGATATATGTTCATTTTTAATGTTATCGTTATCGGCCCGATAAGAAAATTTGGCTGATGTATTAAAGCCGATAAATAATGTAGTATTTCCTTCAGCTGAGACACTTCAGATGCACACTGTTTACCATGATGGTTTTAAATAGCTTGAAATATGATTTGAATCACTTCAAAAAAGGAAAATACAGTTAAGTGCACATAAAATTATAATGAGAAGAACATTATAATTGTGTGCTTGGGACATGGCTTTTAATGGTGAGACTTTTGTTTTTATAATCAGGCTCTCAAAAATTATATAAAAATTTGGATTTAGATTTATCAGCTTATAATATATCGGCTATCGGCTTTCAAATATAAAGAATTACCGGTAGGGATGCACGATGATATCGGGACAACATCGGTATCGGCCGATAAAAGCTTAAAAAGACCATCATCGGCATCGGCCGATATGAATATTTCTGCCGATGAGCCTTGCCGATAGGGTGGCGTGTTTCCTATGCGCACGTGACGACCGCGAACGAAGCATGAGCGCCAGCAACTTAAACTTCCAACTAGGGGTGTGCGTCTCACGCGGTTTTTGATCGTGGACGATTAAAATGTCTCCACGATCTGCTTTTGAAGAAAAATCATAGTATCCTGCATTCTATCAGTTAAATTCTGGCGCCTTCATCTCAACATACTGTACAACGCGACGTACATTCACATTCACATCACATCACATGTAAACGCAGAGGTAGAGTTACACTCACGGGACACCGCAATTCACAAAAGTTCATTATTTGCATGTGCGTCAAAGTCTTGCTAGTTAAACAAGTCATTCACGTGCTGATGCGCTGTTCTAACATGCGCTTTTCTGAGCGCGTACACGCGACGCTCACAGGAACTAAAAGCCTGTCACAGCGCCAGAGCGCCTGCATACTGGACTGAGTTATCTTTCGAGTCTTATTGCGCTAATACTGTCAAATACACACAAGGTTTACATAAACAAAGTTGGTTATGTCTAAAGTGAAAGCAAACAGAGAAAATCTGCTTGTCAAATGCGTGTATATTAGACGCGTCGCGTGCAGTTCTTAAAGAGACAGTATAATATGCTGCCGCTTGTCCTTAAAGAGATACTGCACCCAGAAATAAAAATTCTGTCATTATTTACTCACTCTAATGTTGTTCCAAATCTGTATTCATTTCTTTCTTGTGCTTAAATATACTATGGAAGTCACTGAAGTACAGCAACTGTTTGGTTAGCCACATTCGTCCAAATAACTTTTATTTTCAACAGAAGAAAGAAACTTGAGAGAGTAAATGATGACAATTTAAAATTTTGGGAGAACTATCCCGTTAATGTTAATAAAACAACAAAACACAGAGGAAATCACTCACTGCTTTTGACTGAGAACTTTAATAGAAGCTTTAATAAGCTTTTTTTGCACTAAAAAAAAATACAAATAAATCGGTATCGGCACCGGGCAAAATTAGTTTGAAAATATCGGCATATCGAATATCGGCCAAAATCCTATATCGTGCATCCCTAATTACCGGTTATCGGCTTTCAAATATGAAGAATTATCGGCTATCGGATTTCAAATATGAAGAATTATCGGCTATCGGCTTTCAAATATGAAGTATTATCGGTTATCGGCTTTCAAATATGAAGAATTATCAGCTATCGGCTTTCAAATATGAAGAATTATCGGCTATCGGCTTTCAAATATGAAGAATTATCGGTTATCGGCTTTCAAATATGAAGAATTATCGGTTATCGGCTTTTAAATAAGAATTATCAGCTATCGGCTTTCAAATATGAAGAATTATCGGCTATCGGCTTTCAAATATGAAGAATTATCGGTTATCGGCTTTCAAATATAAAGAATTATCAGCTATCGGCTTTCAAATATGAAGAATTATTGGTTATCGGCTTTCAAATATGAAGGATTATCGGCTTTCAAATATGAAGAATTATCGGCTTTCAAATATGAAGAATTATCGGCTTTCAAATATGAAGAATTATCAGCTATCGGCTTTCAAATAGGAAGAATTATCGGTTATCGGCTTTCAAATATAAAGAATTATCGGCTATCGGATTTCAAATATGAAGAATTATCGGCTATCGGCTTTCAAATATGAAGTATTATCGGTTATCGGTAGGGATGGGGCCGATCCGATCCAGTATCGGTATCGGGACCGATACCAGCGTAATTCACGTATCGGATTTTCCCGATCCAACCTGCGGAGATATCCGATATCCATGAGCCATGTCTGCGCTTTAACGTAGTCTGCTGAAACGACTCCAAAAGTGGCTGGCTAGTCTGCTAGCTGGCTGCAAACTGTGGAATGGATATCCTGAACGGAGGTGCGGCTCAATGAGACACAGAGACCCCCCCTCAGGAAATCCATTCCGCAGTTTGCAGCCAGCTAGCAGGATAGCATTGAGCTGCCAACATGTTCGCTGTGTGGAAATCCTATGGTGGAAATACTTCACACTGGAAACACCACAGCAGAGCAAGACAGCAAAATGCAATGTTTGCAAAGCCGTATTAATTAAACCATTTGTCTGTGATGCATGTTTGCTATTCGCAGTCCAGAAGAGAAAGAGAGAGATCTCTCACGCGGTGCCACAGCGCGCACAACACGACAGCCCATCAGCATGATCGGTGATTGTTGTAAAATGCAGTCTCTACTGTTGCTAAATTGCGGGACGCTTTTAATAATAAAAAAAGCTATTAAAAGCACAAAAATCTGCGCAAGAGAAGCTGTTCCCGCGTCGCGCGCTCCGAAACAGACCGCAACGAGACAAGCACATTATACTTTGGGCTTCATATGCACGTCTAAACGATCAAATGTAGCCTACACAAAAATGTCAAAATGACCGGCTTGGAGATTCACTTAAACAGTTTGTCTAAAATGGACGTAGTTATGGAAATAGTTGGGAGAAAATATGGTGCACTCGTTCTTAAAGGGGAAGCAGTCTAATAAACATGCTGACGATTGCTCCATTACTGAGAATCAAACAACAAAAGGCAAAGAGAAAATCACTCACAGCTCTTGAATGAATAACTTTAGCTTTAATAAGCATAAATCTATCTATGATAAACTTTGCAGTGCTATTTTACTTTTGATTACTTTATTATAATTATTTTTTAGACCATACCTGAATAATGTTAGTAGACCTTCCTGAAATTAAAGCACTGTGTAGGCCTGTATAATGTGTATCTTTGTTTAATTGTCTATCTTTTGTTTATCTATTGTTTAATATATATATATATATATATATATATATTGACATACATGCATACATACGTACATATCATACTTGCCTGTAGAGAGGAGTTTATTTCAGCATCATATAAAATCAACAATAATGATAATAATAATATTAAAGCAAACACAGCTCTGGTATCGGAAAAGTATCGGTATCGGCCGATATCCAAATTCAGGTATCGGGATCGGATCGGAAGTGAAAAAATGTGGATCGGTGCATCCCTAGTTATCGGCTTTCAAATTTGAAAAATTATCAGCTATCGGCTTTCAAATATGAAGAATTATCGGCTATCGGCTTTCAAATATGAAGAATTATCGGTTATCGGCTTTCAAATATGAAGAATTATCAGCTATCGGCTTTCAAATATGAAGAATTATCAGCTATCGGCTTTCAAATATGAAGAATTATCGGTTATCGGCTTTTAAATATGAAGAATTATCAGCTATCGGCTTTCAAATATGAAGAATTATCGGTTATCGGCTTTCAAATATGAAGAATTATCGGCTATCGGCTTTCAAATATGAAGAATTATTGGTAATCGGCTTTCAAATATAAAGAATTATCAGCTATCTGCTTTCAAATATGAAGAATTATCGGTTTTTGGCTTTCAAATATGAAGAATTATCGGCTATCGGCTTTCAAATATGAAGAATTATCGGTTGTCGGCTTTCAAATATAAAGAACTATCGGTTATCGGCTTTCAAATATGAAGAATTATCAGCTATCGGCTTTCAAATAGGAAGAATTATCGGTTATCGGCTTTCAAATATGAAGAATTATCAACTATCGGCTTTCAAATATGAAAAATTATCGGTTATCGGCTTTCAAATATGAAGAATTATCGGTTATCGGCTTTCAAATATAAAGAATTATCGGTATCTGCCAAAATGTTCTATCAAAACACTATATACGGCTAAATGAATCTGCAGCAGTCACCTGGTACAAGTCCGAGCTCTAAATTGATTTTGTTCATTATTATTGTAATGTTATGTGCTTTGAGACACGAGGTACTTTAACGCCGTCTCTCGTCTCGTGATGCTTTGCAGACACTGCTGTACACGTTCATATGCTTTGAAGGAGGCGTGGCTTTGGAGAAGCTCTGAAGGGAGGGTTGGATTGAATTGAATGGACTTCCTTTGTACTTGTATACAACAAAATGAATAAAGCTACACTTCATTACTGGTGTATTGCCACTCAAATGCAAAAAAAAAAACCACAATGGATATAATGAAACAAGAAACATCAATAAAAGAACAAACTTTCCTTCATAATAAATAAAATGATCGAAGACTAAGATAGATAAGAGAAAAAAAATGCATAATCCACGCTCACAAGACAATTAGGACAAACTTTCTACTTATTTTGTCATATTGCACATGATGGAAATGTAAAACTTGGCAGCATTTAGTGCAACTATGGCTCTGGGATAAAAACTATTTTTGAGTCTGTTTGTTGCCTACCCTAACTTTAATTGTGTAATTTATTTCTGTCACGTCAAAGCTGATTTTTCAGCATCATTACTCCAGACTTCAGTGTCACATGATCCTTAAAAGATAATTTAATATGCTGATTTGCTGCTCAATTATTATTGGTAATCACTATTATTAAAACCCTCTGGTGCTTTTCACGTGTCGGTCAAAAATGGCTGATTCTTTTTTTCCCAATGAGATTAATGTACTATATTTTAGTTCTTAGTTCTATATTAATGTTTTTTATTTAACATTTTGTATTTTTAGGGGATTTTATGGTACTAAATTATATTTACGCTGTATTTATAATCCATTTATTAAATTTGAGCATAGACCTGAAAATTAAATTTCCAACTTAAACTGTTGTAAATCTTGAATGCTTTAGAGCACAGATCTCTTTTCAAAGACGACACTTGGCAGATTAAGTGAAAAGTTTTAAAAAGTGAACTTAAGAAAAGTTACAGAATTTTACATTTATTGTTATGAAAAATGTGAGAAAATCAAAGCCATAAATCTAAACAAGTTGTGTTCCAAATTTGAGCCTGATATCTAAAAAAAATTAGCTTTCAGTAAGATTTTATTTGGCCGCAGTACCGAAGGTTTCCACTAGATGAAATTTGTCACCCATTCATTTCCAATGCGCTAATTTTTGATCGCGAGGAGGACAAGTGTGACTGAAAATCATGTCCATGATTTTTTTGTTTTGTTCACATAGCAAGTGCCAAATCCTTAACCAAGTTTCATACCATTCCTTTGAAGTAAAAAAAATATATATATATTTTTAAGTTTTTCAATCAAAAATGACTGAAGAGCGGCAGAGGGTTAAAATAGGATTATTTTTATTATCAATGCTGAAAACTGTTTTTGTTTTGTTTTAGAAATGATGATAAGATGATGAAATGTGCATAAGAGACTTCTTTCAACAACTTAAAAAAATGGCAATTGTTCCAAACTGACATTACATTGATTTTGAATCCCAAAATTTCCATCCAGCGCCCAGCCGCCTCCAGCATATTCCCACCCAACCACGGGCAGCTATAGCGTCCAGCCCGCCCCCGGAGTGGCCCACGCGGTGACGGCCTCGTACCCTGTGCCCACTGCCCAACCGGCCCGTCCCGCAGTGACCGCCCCCTACCCCACCTACCAGCCCCATCCCACCCCCAACTACGGCTACCGGCCGCCCGAAACGACCCCGCAGCCCACGACCACCCCGCAGACATACCAGGTGTTGACTGAACCGGTCAGTGTTTTCTTGACTACTCTTATATTAAAGGGATAGTTCACCCAAAAATGAAAATTTACTCACCCTAAAGCCATCCTAGATGTATATTAATACATCTAATTAATAATTAGAGTTATATTAATAAATGTCCTGGCTCTTCCAAGCTTTATAATGGCAGTGAATGACTGTTTCTGTTTTGAAGTTCATAAAAGTGCATCTATCCATCATAAAAGTGCATCTATCCATCATAAAAGTGCATCTGTCCATCATAAAAGTGCATCTATCCATCATAAAGTGCTCCACAGGCTCCGGGGGATTAATAAAGTCCTTCTGAAGCGAAGTGATTCGTTTGTGTTGTAAAAATATCGATATTTAACATGTTACAATGTAAAATTCTAGCTTCCGGCCAAATGAACATACGCAGTCTCTACTTACGCCTAAAGCGCAACTTGTGTTGTGACGTCAGAAGTAGCCTAGCGTGTCATAGCGTAAATATCAGCAGTGCGTCGCATAACTCGCATAAGTTGCGCTTTAAAGTCAAATCCGTATGTTCGTTTGACCGGAAGCTAGTTATTTTACTTTATACAGTCCCTCCAGAAAAACGCGATTATGCGATCGCTGAATTCAATGCATAATCAGCCAAAGTCCGCATATTTATGCGGGGGTCGCATTTTTTCAAATACTCTGCAATTTCGCCGCATAAATTGCTGATTTCCGCGCAAAATATGCGGGCTTGCATGATTTCATAATCCCCGCATTTTCGTTGCAAAAAAGTCACATATATCTTAGCAGAAAGTTGGAAAATGTTGCGTTTGCTTCACACAAGAGCAGCCGTTTCCCCTGTTGCCATGGGAACGTTATGAAGTGACGTAATTACGCGACGTGAACATCATTGAAAAGCTGCAACAGGAGCACACTTTATTTTTAAATATTTCATTTATTCATTTTTACTGAAGTAAAGCTACAGCTAAAGCTCCTCTAGTAAAGCTACAGAACTTGTTTGACTCATCAATGTTTTGTAAGTTTGATGTGTTTATTAAGGTCTTGTAACGCGTTGTGTCGGGAAGAAAAAAAAAGGGATAGCTCACAGCTGAAGTTATTGCAGAGGCCAGACTCACGGAGGCGATTGGCATCTTCTCACAACTCACACTTTATTCCCAAATCGAACTCGTATAACTGTCTGTCACGCATTCTACCGTCCACATCGTTACTTAATAAACAAAATAAGATAAAATAAGTAGCATCAAACAGAAATTACCCGCACACATGGGGTGTTCGAGGGCGAGGCGCACCTACAATATAACACTGCAGACAGCGCGCAGCTCTTAAAGGGGCCACACCTTATTTCCACTCATTACAGTCTGAAATAAAACAAGATGAGAAATTAAATATTTCCAGCACTTTCTGTGATGTAGTATGCTTGCTTATCATAGGAAGTAATAAGAAATGACTCTTTACATTAAGGTAGTAGCCTAGTGAGTGAGAACAGGGTGTTGAGGGAATCACTTTTTTTTCTCTTTTTCATCAAACCGCAGTTTTTGCAAGTTCCCGCAATTTCATCGCAAAAAATTGCATAAATATCCCGCATATTCCATCGCATTTTTAAAGAAAACGGGCCGCGTAATCAAGGATTTTTGCCCGCAACAATCACAAAAAAACTCCGCGTTTTTCTGGAAGGACTGTTTATAAAGTTTAAAATATGAATATTTTTCTTATACACAAACCCATCGCTTCACTTCATAAGGCCTTTATTAACCCCCCGGCCTGTGGAGCACTTTTATGATGGATAGATGCACTTTTATGATGGACAGATGCACTTTTATGATGGACAGATGCACTTTTATGATGGACAGATGCACTTTTATGATGGATAGATGCACTTTTATGATGGACAGATGCACTTTTATGATGGACAGATGCACTTTTATGATGGACAGATGCACTTTTATGATGGATAGATGCACTTTTATGATGGATAGATGCACTTTTATCATGGACAGATGCACTTTTATCATGGATAGATGCACTTTTATGATGGACAGATGCACTTTTATCATGGACAGATGCACTTTTATGATGGATAGATGCACTTTTATGGACTTCAAAACAGAAACGGCCATTCACTGCCATTATAAAGCTTGGAAGAGCCAGGACATTTATTAATATAACTCTAATTGTATTCGTCTGAAAGAAGAATGTCATATACACCTAGGATGGCTTCAGGGTGAGTAAATCATGGGCTAATATTACTTTTTGGGTGAACTATCCCTTTAGTGATGTTACCCCAGTTGTCTACATTAGTAGTTTTTCTTATCCACTCATGTATGAATTGATCTTACAGGAGAATTATACTTACGGCCGCCCGCCGTCGGTCAGCAGCTTCGAGAACAAGCAGTATTTCCAGACGAGCATCACTCCTGCGCAGAGAACCGTGACAGAGGCCTACTTCCAGACAGGTGAAGCTCAGCTCTCTCTGCGTGCTTAGACACAATCATCGCCAAGTGACTCAACAGATTTAGTAAGGTTACAGTTATGTGTTCTTAAAGCTGCAGTCCGTAACTTTTTTGGGTTGAAAATTATCCAAAATAAATTTTTGAGCAAGTACATAACCAGCCAGTGTTCAAAACTCTCTGCTTGCCGTAGCTGGATTCAAAGCGGTAAGCTTGTAATAATGTTTTTAACTCCAGTGATACTGGTGGATTTGGATGTTGGAGGTATAGATTTATAGCCTTTTCTCACAGCACTTGATATAATTAAACGTATTAATTTGATGGCGGATCCAGAAAGGTTCAAACGACGATCACCAGTGACAACAGATTCACCCGCTGTAAAATGCAAAAGACTTCGGACTGAGAGTTTTGGGAAAAGAGACTGCAACGGCCCATGCGAAAACAAGGATAAATATTATAAGGGCAGTAAATGTCACGCAATGCTGATGTTGTGAACATTAACAATTTGAGAACAAAGTATAATTTGCACGTTTTGATGTGATATGATAAGCCATCGTTAGATTTAATCAGCGTGATTTACTGCAATGGCTTTTTTCCCTTAGTTGGTCAGAACAAAAGTGGATGTTTCTTACTTGTTCAGACATTTTAGGGTGAAAATTATTATGTTGGTCATACTTCCCAAAAGAATAATCTGTGATTCTGAATGCCAGTATCCACACCGGCGCGGTGACTGACAGCCACACACTCTCCTCAAACATTGTGTTCATCTGCGCTGTGCCGTGCCGAGGCACAACTCACGTAAAGTTAATAATTCCGCGAATGACTGCAATTGGAGATTTCGAACAGAGATGGCGACAAAGAGGAAAAACTGCGGACTGGTTAAAGAAAGGTTATGATGGAGATGGAGGTTTAGCTTTTGCTTGTTTTGTAAACACGGACATGTTGAGCTTTGGCACTCATGCGGGTGATGCAGGTTCGAGTCTGGTCTGCAACATTTCTATTCACAAAAACGCTCTGCTTTTCTGTATGCAGTAAATTTGAAGATAAATTGCAGGATCTGTTTTGACTAATGCTGCGTTCACACCGGACGCGAATAGCGCGTCAGGCGCGAGTGATTTCAATGTTAAGTCAATGCAAAGACGCGAAAATTCCTGCGGCGCTAATGAGGCGTAGAGCGCGGCGCGGTAGACGCGAATACGCCTCATTCGCGCGTCAAGTTCGCGTGAATGGCGTGAATTGAGCGTCTGGCACGTTACGCGCGAATGATGCATTTTGTGCATTAACGCGTTTGACGCGAATTCGCGTCTGCCGCCCGAGTTGAAAAATCTGAACTTTGGCGTCAATTCGCGCCACGTTAACCAATCAGGAGCCTAGCTGCTGTCACGTGGTGAAGTATCTGGATGCTTCAATAAATTATGTTGTAATATGTCTAAATATGCCTGATGTGGTTCTAATGCACAACAAATCAAATATTTTATCACATAAAACTTGATTTCAATATATGAGACATTCATTTTGTATTGAATGCTATTTATTCCATATCTAGATTATATGAAATATTATTATAATGTAAAGACAACCAACATACTATAGTGCATAAATTCGTGTCTGGAGAGTGTTGTGTGAGAGAGAGAAAATCACAGGACAGGTTAATCACTTTTGGAGGCTGGCTCCATTTATCATCAACACAAAAATAAATGACAGATTAGGTGGGTGAGGGCGAGGGTGATCCTCGCTCCGATGCGGGACAACAGGTCATCAAACTGGGCGCGGGACAGGCGCAAGTACCGCTGAAAGTGGCCGTCATCCAGAAGCAGCTCCTGGATGGTAAAACTCGCCAAACTGGGTTCGCCTCCGAAGGGTCTGGTGTGACGATGATCCCTACGCCGCTGTTCTGCTCTCCAGAGCAAATACAGAGCGGTGACTCTCCTGATAGAGTCACCTATCTTTTGCTCAATCGTATCTTTTGCTCAATCAAAATAAAAAAGATGGCCGCCAACAGGTTTCGAATCTGACGCGCGTAAATTTCGCTTCAAACTTTTGTTTTTACGCGCGTCAGTTTCACTCTTGACGCGCGAATTAACACAAAGTGGTCAAGCGTCAAACTAGACGCGAATTTGACGCGCTATTCGCGTCCGGTGTGAACGCGGCATAACAGATTGCAAAATTGTCCTTTTTTTTACTTTTTTTTTTACTGATTGGTTGAACTGATGCACGTTATAAGCTATTTCAGAGCAATCAAAACTTGTCAATATTCAAAACAATGTATACAGCAGTCGACATTTGAAGTGGATCAAAACCTTTCATCGACAGTTACACATGAATTTTGTGTTCTGATCCACTTCAAATGTTGACTACTGTAGTTTTTGGTTTGGTTTTAATGGTTCAGGTGTAACTGATGATAACATCTTTGTGTTTTTGTCAGGGCTGAAGAGTGGCTACAGCCCCGTGACCACAGTGTACAGTCAGCCGGTCCAAAGACAGGTCTCGGCTCTGAAACCCCCCCCCGCCGCCAGCGCAGTGTCCTCCAGCTACACCATCTACCCCACGTCCACCAGCGTCCAGCAAACCCCAGCCCCCATATCCACTTACACACACAGCTCTTCCTTCAACTCCACAGCCGCCACGTCCTACTCCGGTACGTCACATTCACACTCGTGTGTACGGTTGGGAATCGAAAATCGAATACTTGATATCAGGAATCAGATACTTGTTAGAAAATTAAATTTTCGATTCCTCTGAGCATTTCAATATGACTTTAAACCGTTCAAGCGCTGTTTTCTGCGTGTGTATCTATACTGGGCAGCTCTTAAAGAGACAGCGCTAATATTCCTGCTGCCGTCTCTATAATAACTCTAATCAAACGACAAAAGACAATTCACTCGTTCTTGACTGAATAACTATAAATGTAAGTATATTTGTAATGTATATTTAATTTATAAAGTGCAGTGTTGTTTTACATTTGATTACAGTTTCTTAATACCTGAAAATCTTAAAACACTGTTTATTTGATCGTATCTTTGTTCAGTTGTGTCTATTAGCTGTGATTGCTAGTTTTTTATTTGTTCTTTTTTAATTACCGAGTGTTTACTTGTCTTTAATAATGCTTGAAATGTATATTAGTTCGGCTAGTTGTCTTTCTATGGTGTTTTTAAACCTCAGGCAAACACTCCTGTAAGTGTTCTTCAGCCTGTTCAATTTTTCGTTCATGATATTCAGCTACAATTAAACGTTTCGCAATAAGAGTAAATGTGAATGATATCTAACCTTATTGGAATCGATAAGAATCGTTACAATTCAAATGTTACGTTCCTCCAGATGGTAAGTCCAGGGAGAGGAGAGGCAACATTATTTAAAATAAAACCAGGGCAAAAAGAGAACAGGAAGTCATGTTTATTTGCAAATTGAAAAGTGTATTTATGACAATATTGACAAAGGAGAACCAATACAAAACATCTGACTGAGACAGCGAGCAAACGAGGTGAGACAAACTATAAACACAGGCTAAGTAACAACAGGGTTCTTCAAGTTAAATTCAAGTCTTTTTAAGACCTTTTATATAAAAAATTAATACCTATTTCACGTCCCTACCAGCAAAGAAAAACAAATTCCTTCAACTTGTGTTCATTTATTTTTCAAATGTGGAATGGGTAAAAGATGATAAGCCAAGCAGGTGTGAAAAATAAAAACATTTCAGTAGGCCACAAGAACGTTTGCCGAACATTTTAGTTTTTTTAGATTTTCGAAATCTACTGTAAACTAAATCTACAGTAGATTTAGTCGACTAAAATATAATGGTTTTAGGTAAATTGTAATGCGTTAATTACAAGTTCTCTAAAATTTCCAAACCCATTCACTCTCGGAGAAAACATATATTAACCTATTAATATGAATGATTTTTAAGTTTCAACAAGCAATACAGATACAGATTTAACTACTGTGACTTAAAAAAAATATCTTAATTAAATAAAACCACTTTTCCTGAAGTAAAACACAGTCTTCTTTTCAATGAATGATATATTCATTCTTTATAACAACTTACATACATAATTCTTTATTCTTTCAAGCAGACAATTATTTGTATGAATTAATTATAATTAATCCTTATTAAAGCTATTAACAATTTTATGAGACCGCGGGGTAGATCAGCACGTTACAGTACACATGTGTACATCTAGCACACACGCAGGACATCAGTTCTGACTGGATCGCTTCCCAGATCGACACTATCTAACATTTTCATCTAGTTTTTTTTTTATTCGTTGACGGAAATGTTAATAGATTTTCGTCATAGTTTTTGTCATTCAAAACTAGGTTTTATTTAGGTAGCGTCTCGTTTTCGTCAGTGAAAAATGTCGTTGAAGAAAAGTTTTCGTCATTATATTCGTCAATGAAATGAACACTGACATACAGCACAATTTTTAAGACCCAGACATCAAAATTCAAGACTTTTTAAAGACTTTTTAAGGTATTATTTCCAAATTCATAAATTCAATGCTTTTAAGGCTTTTTAAGACCCCACGGGAACCCTGAACAAGGTTCAGCATTAAATGAACAACTAAACAGTCCTCCCTCCACTGAGGAGGCTAACAAATACAAAACCGGACACTGTTCTGAACTCACGAAAGATGCAAGTCGGTGTTCGATACCCAGCCCTGTTCATATGCCACAACTAGCCTAACTCTCTCTTTCTCTGTGGCTTCAGCCGGCCTCAGTTACTCCAGCTATGAGTCTAGCGGTTACACGTCGGCGCCGTCGTACTTCCAGCCTCAGGCTCCTCTTCAACAGCCTCCGCCTCCACCGCCACAGCAGACGCAACCGCCTCCCAAACAGCTCGCCAACTCGTCCTGGAGCGGCGGCCCCGCCGTCAGCGCGTACAAGAAGCCCGTCTTCCACCAGAACAAGATCCAGAAGCCCAAAGGCCCGCCGAAACAGCCTCAGCTGCACTACTGCGACATCTGCAAGATCAGCTGCGCCGGGCCACAGGTGAGCGCCGCCCAACACTGCATTAGCAAACGGGACAACTGGGGCCCGTGAAATCTGGGAATTAATTTTTTTTTTTTTTCTCATTCTATTTGAATGGTTTATTTTAATTTTCTAATTAATTGTGAAACTTATTCCATTTAAAAGCAAAACTTACATTCTGTTTTACATTTTTACTGTTCATTTTTTTAACCATTTAAAAACAAAACATATTTTTAGGGCCCAATGAAATCCGTTTAATTTTCGTTTAATAAGTTTTATCTTTCCCAAATTCTTTAATTTTTTTCTGTTTACATTTTTAATGGTATAATTTAAATTTTCAAAAAGCACGTCTAATTAATTGCAATTGTGATATACCATTTAAAAACGAAACATATTTTTAGGGCCCAATGAAATCCGTTTTTTTTTTATTGTTTTTTTTTTTTTATTGTTCTCATTCTATTTTAATGGTATAATTAAAATTTTCAAAAATCACGTCTTCTTAATTGCAATTGTGAAAGTTACACTATTTAAAAACAAAATGTATATTTTTAAGGCCCAATGAAATCCGTTTTTTTTTTTAAATGTAGTTTTTTTTTCTCAAATTCTTTTTTTTTTGTTCTAATTCTATTTTAATGGTTTATTTTAATTTTCAAAAAGCACGTCTAATTAATTGCAATTGTGATATACCATTTAAGAACAAAACATATATTTTTAGGGCCCAATGAATTTTTTTTTTTTTTTTTTTTTTTTTTTTCATTCTATTTTAATGGTTTATTTTAATTGTCAAAAAGCACGTCTAATTAATTGCAATTGTGAAACTTATACTATTTAAAAACAAAATGTATATTTTTAGGGCCCAATGAAATCCGTTTTTTTTTTTAAATTCTGTTTTTTTTTTCTCAAATTCTTTTTTTTTTCATTTCTCATTCTATTTTAATGGTTTATTTTAATTTTCAAAAAGCACGTCTAATTAATTGCAATTGTGAATCTTGTACTAGAGCCCCTTTCACACAGAGATTCCGGAAAATACACGGATAAAGCGACCCGGGATTTGACCCGGGTTCGTTTGATTTTGCTCTCATTCACACTGCCAGTGATTTTCCGGAATCAGAGCGCGTTCACACACAACCCGTAAAAATCCCGTAAAGACACGTGACATCGATGTGACATGTAATGTCTCAGCAGCGTCTATAGTTTGCTTATGAGCTGCGATCTCTCTCTGGAGAAACCACGCTTGTGCATTTTTTTCTGTTCTCATTCTATTTTAATGGTATAATTAAAATTCTCAAAAAGCACGTCTAATTAATTGCAATTGTGAAACTTACACTATTTAAAAACAAAATGTATATTTTTAGGGCCCCATGAAATCCGTTTTGTTTTCTCTCCCAAATTCTGTTTTATTTTTCCAAATTTCTTTACATTTTTATCTGGATTCCTTTTTAATGGTTAAATAAAATTTCGGAAATAAAAAAAGCATGTCTAATTAAAGCTCCAGTCCGTAACTTTTTTAAGTTAAAAATAATCCAAAATAATTATATTGAAAAAAACTTATTCTGCCAGTGGTCAAAACTATCTGCTTGCCATAGCTAGATTCAAAACGGTTAGCTTGTAATAATGATTTTAATTCCAGTGGTACTGGTGGGTTTCCGCGGGAAATTCGAGCATGTCTTTGCGTCATGACGTCACACCCGTACACATAAAGAAGGAGTTTCGGCTAGCCGGCTATACTGCGCGTGACGAGATGTTTAGATGTATAGGCTTTTCTCGCAGCACTTTACATAATTAAATTTATGGCATCCAGAAAGATCCAAACAACAATCATCAGTGTCAACTGGAGATTCAGCAGTTACAGTGGTGTGAATAAGTTATTACCCCCATGCTAAAGTTGCCTAAAAAGAGGAATAAAAAATCATCTTTTGGAAATTGATCTTAATGCCTTAATAAGAAAAATGAGGAAAAATCCAACCTTTAAGGACACCAATTTTCTTTGTGTATGAATAATGTATCATAAATAAATAAATGTTCTTCCTTAAAATACAGGGTGCATAAGTCAGGCCCCCCCAATGTTAAATTCCCATAGAGTCAGGCAGATTTTTATTTTTAAAGGCCAGTTATTTCATGGATCCAGGATAATATGCATCCTGATAAAGTTCCCTTGGCCTTTGGAATTAAAATATCCCACATCATCACATTCCCTTCACCATACCTAGAGATTGGCATGGTGTTATTTCAGTTAGCCTAATAGCTGGTTTGATTTGCATTGAAATATGATCTTATGGAAAGTACCCCATGCCAATCTCTAGGTATGGTGAAGGGAATGTGATGATGTGGGTCTATTTTAATTCCAAAGGCCAAGGGAACTTTATCAGGATGCATATTATCCTGGATCCATGAAATAACTGGGCTTTAAAAATAAAAATCTGCCTGACTCTATGGGAATTTAACATAGGGGGGGGCCTGACTTATGCACCCTGTATTTTAAGGAAGAACATTTATTTATTTATGATACATTATTCATACACAAAGAAAATTGGTGTCCTTAAAGGTTGGATTTTTCCTCATTTTTCTAATTAAGGCATTAAGATCAATTTCCAAAAGATGATTTTTTATTCCTCTTTTTAGCCAACTTTAGCATGGGGGTAATAACTTATTCACACCACTGTATAAAACCCAAAAGACTTCGTACTTCGGATTTAAGGTGGCTAGAGAAAGAGAAAGAAACCGTCTCATGCGAACACAAGGATTTAAACATCGGCGGGGCTTTTGAAAAGTGCGTGAACTCCGTGTTTTGAAGGGGTTCAAAACGGAAGAAGAGACGGCTTTTTTCTGCTGAACAAGTAAGACATTTCAATAGTTCAATCGTGTAACAGTACGTTTTCTTAATTCACACAGTTATGGAGTTTCCTTTGTTGTGCCTTTCTCGTTTTGCTATTATGGAGAATATGAATTCTGAACTACACAGGTAACCATAAAACACATTACATTTAACATTAGTCACGCAATGCTGATGTTGTTAACATGAACAATTTGAGAACAAAGTAGGCTATAATTTTCACGGTTGCTGTAAATCGCGTTGATTAAATCTAACGAAGCTTATCATGTCGAATGCTTTTTCCCCCTTAGTTGGTCAGAACAAAAATGGATGTTACTTACTTGTTCAGAAGACATTTTCTTATGAAAATTCTTATGTTGGTCAAACTTTCAAAAAGTGAATCTGTGATTCTGTATGACAGTATCCACACAGCGCGGTGACTGACAGCAGCACTCGCCTCAAAGCACTGTGTTCATCCGCGCTGTTTCATGCCGATTTACAACCCACGTAAAGATGATAATTCAGCCAATCACTGCAGTTACAGATTTCGAACAGAGAGATGGCGACAAAGAGGAAAAGATACGGACTGGAGCTTTAATTAATTGGTATTAAATTAAATGTTAAAATGAATACATGGAAGAACATTTTTCTAATATTCCTTCAAAAATAAATCATTGTAATATTTGTAATTGTTTTAATAATTGTATTATTCGTTTTAGTGCTTTGAAAAAGTACATACTACTGTACTATAGTAATTTATATCTGTTATAATGTATTTCTGTCACAATTTTGAGTTAAACCAAACTACTGTTTTGGCGGGTTGTCTTGAAGAGCTTTAAGTTTCAGTGTGTTTTCAGATGATACTTTTTCTCAAATGAAATGAAGTGACAATTTATATTTGAATAACAGCGGTGTTGTGCTTTTATTATTCACAGACGCTAGTCCAGATCGAAACATGTCTTGTTTTTCGGTACCAAATTTCGATACCTAAGGGGTTAATCTCGTCAACGTCAGTGAAACAATAAGCATGCAGCATGATTGGCTGTGGCAGAAAAACACTAACGTTAGTTTACGCGGCTGCCCAGAGAGACGTGGCTCGTCGCACGTGAGGCTGCAGTGTGTGTGTAAATCTGAAGACACTTAAAAGCGCACAGAATACACTTGAGAGTAGTAAGTTTATCCGTCTTCGACTGCAAGAACTGGAGCGCGTCACAAATGAACCAAAACTCAGCGTATAGGATACTTGACTCACAGACATGAGAAATAGGCCTATAGACGGTTAAAATATGTCTACTTTTAAACGAAATAAATAGTTTATGTAATCCATATAGGCGCACGTGCGTGTTCATGCAGGAATGACAAGTCAACATCGCCATATTCTTTGCAGCCTACACACTCAGTAAACACTTGTTTATTAATAAAAAAATTAAATATCTCCTTGCTATTTTATCCCGACACATCCATAATCATTAGGCTACTTTCGCCAGTGCTTTGCGGCAAGCTTCATGTCTGCTGAGTGTGAGGCATAATCCCGCACCCCAGTAGCCTATATTTAATTCAATTCACATTTATTTGTATAGCATTTTTCACAAAACATAACGTTTCAAAGCAGCTTTACAGAAAGTTACAATTTAGAGTGATCTGTTATCAGAGGTGGCTGTTAAATGATTAGGAAACATAGAAAACTTTAGCATTGGTGCTTTTTTACAGACTCAAAATATGAGTGTAAAAAAAGTCAACAAACTGAAAAAAAAAAAAAAAATTAGGTAATGTAATATTGTTAAAGCTCCAGTCCGTATCTTTTCCTCTTTGTCGCCATCTCTGTTCGAAATCTGTAACTGCAGTGATTGGCTGAATTATCATCTTTACGTGGGTTGTAAATCGGCATGAAACAGCGCGGATGAACACAGTGCTTTGAGGCGAGTGCTGCTGTCAGTCACCGCGCTGTGTGGATACTGGCATTCAGAATCACAGATTCACTTTTTGAAAGTTTGACCAACATAAGAATTTTAATAAGAAAATGTCTTCTGAACAAGTAAGTAACATCCATTTTTGTTCTGACCAACTAAGGGGGAAAAAGCATTCGACATGATAAGCTTCGTTAGATTTAATCAACATGATTTACAGCAACCGTGCAAATTATAGCCTACTTTGTTCTCAAATTGTTCATGTTAACAACATCAGCATTGCGTGACTAATGTTAAATTGAATGTGTTTTATGATTACCTGTGTAGTTCAGAATTCATATTCTCCATAATAGCAAAACGAGAAAGGCACAACAAAGGAAACTCCATAACTGTGTGAATTAAGAAAACGTACTGTTACACGATTGAACTATTGAAATGTCTTACTTGTTCAGCAGAAAAAAGCCGTCTCTTCTTCCGTTTTGAACCTCTTCAAAACACGGAGTTCACGCACTTTTCAAAAGCCCCGCCGATGTTTAAATCCTTGTGTTCGCATGAGACGTTTCTTTCTCTTTCTCTAGCCTCCTTAAATCCGAAGTACGAAGTCTTTTGGGTTTTATAACTGCTGAATCTCCAGTTGACACTGATGATTGTTGTTTGGATGTTTCTGGATGCCATAAGTTTAATTATGTAAAGTGCTGGGAGAAAAGCCTATACATCTAAACATCTCGTCACGCGCAGTATAGCCGGCTAGCCGAAACTCCTTCTTTATGTGTACGGGTGTGACGTCATGACGCAAAGACATGCTCGAATTTCCCGCGGAAACCCACCAGTACCACTGGAATTAAAATCATTATTACAAGCTAACCGTTTTGAATCTAGCTATGGCAAGCAGATAGTTTTGACCACTGGCAGAATACGTTTTTTTCAATATAATTATTTTGGATTATTTTTAACTTAAAAAAGTTACGGACTGCAGCTTTAAAACGGATTTCCTAAAATTGGTATCGAAAAAAGTATCGTTCAGGTATCGGTATCAAAAATTTTGTTACGATACGCAGCCCTATCCATGATTGCGTCTGTTTTCTGCATCACTGAAGCTTAACTCGTTTCCTCATTGACACGGGTTCCTGTGCTCTCCTGCAGACGTATCGAGAGCATCTGGAAGGACAGAAGCACAAGAAGAAGGAGGCGTCTCAGAGCAGTGTCAGTCAGGTGACCAACGGGCCTCGCGGCGTGCAGACGCAGTTGCGCTGTGAGTTGTGTGACGTCTCCTGCACCGGCGCCGATGCGTATGCCGCACACATTCGGGGATCCAAGCACCAGAAGGTGAGGCCAATATTAGCAACACATGAAATAATAGTCTTGGAGAAATCTTTTTATTTTTATGGGATGGTTTATTGAAGCTTTAGACAAAATACACTACCGGTCGGTAAGATTTGTTATGTTTTTAAAATAAGTCTCTTCTGCGCACCAAGACTGCATTTATTTGATTAAAAAACAAAACAAAAGAAAAAAACAGTAATATATTAAAATTGAAAACAGGTATTTTAAATTTATATGTTAAAATGTAATTTATTCCTGTGATCAAAGCTGTATTTTCAGCATCATTACTCCAGTCACATGATCCTTCAGAAATCACTCTAATATGCGGATTTGATGCTCAAAAAACATGAATTATTATTATCAATGTTGAAAACAGTTGTGTAAAAAAACTAATTCAGGATTCTTTGATGAATAGAAAGTTCAAAAGAACAGCATTTATTTGAAATATAATCTTTTGTAACATTATAAATGTCTTTACTGTCACTGACCAAAACTTTTGACTGGTAGGTTATGTATATAAAAAACAAGTTTGCATACAGTAAGTAAAAATATAAAATTATGATAGCTTTTAATGTAAATCAATCTTTATAACAGTCATAAATCATAAATATCAGTCATCACTCTATATCTCTCAATAATATGTCTTAGATGAGATTTTAAATCTTAGTTTTATGATCAAAGCTCTGTAGTTTTAAAACTTATAATGCAATGCAATGATGATTGAGATCATAGATGTTACTAAAATATAATGTATGGATAATCTATTAATCCTAACTTCCTTCAGTGCAGTAAGTGTTCATCTGGAAATATTACTAACAATGTAAAAGATATTCTTATCAATAAAGATTTCACAGCACAAACACACATGAAGCACGAGCTGAAGGTGGACGTTTGTACAATTATATCAAAAGGCCTTTTAGTTAATGAAATCAGATGATTAATCAAAAGGCATGTAGTAGATTGTGAACAACACAAAAGTTGTGATCATGTTGATAACGTAGAGATTTGCGTATCAGATATGATGCTAATGATTGACTAATCTGAAATGCAAACCTTTCGTCAGGTCGTGAAGTTACACACCAAACTTGGCAAACCCATCCCTTCCACCGAGCCTGTGTTCGTGAGCTCCGCCTCTGTTGCCATGACGATCACTACTAGTAAAGCAGCGGCGGCGGCAGCGACGACGACGACATCCGCTCCCACCCCTGCATCAGTGGCGCAGAAGATGCTAGCGGCGGCTCCGTCCAAACCTGTGAGAAAACCCCCCGCTGCTAAAGTGGCCATCATCGGTGAGTGGAGTCTGAGCAGAACGAATTTCTGTCAATCTTTCGTAATACTATCGGTGTTCAAAATAATTAATTTTACAGTTGATTTACAAAGAAATGTATTCGCAATTGCAAGAATTATTGTAAGAATGATATACACAGAAATTTATTAGCAATCGCAAGAATTATTTTAAAGAATGATTTACGGCGAAATTTGTTCACAATTGCAAGAAAGAATTTAAAGAATGATTTACGCCGAAATTTATTCGCAATTGCAAGAATTAATTTAAGAATGATATACGCGAAATTTATTCGCAATTGCAAGAATTAATTTTAAGAATGATATACGCCGAAATTTATTCGCAATTGCAAGAGTTAATTTTAAGAATGATATACGCCGAAATTTATTCGCAATTGCAAGAATTAATTTTAAAAAATGATATATGCCAAAATTTATTCCCAATTGCAAGAATTAATTAAGAATGATTTACACCAAAATTCATTCGCAATCGCAAGAATTGTTGTAAGAATGATTTACACAGAAATTTATTTCGCAATTGCAAGAATTATTTTAAGAATGATTTACACAGAAATTTATTAGCAATCGCAAGAATTATTTTAAAGAATGATTTACGGCGAAATTTGTTCACAATTGCAAGAAAGAATTTAAAGAATGATTTACGCCGAAATTTATTCGCAATTGCAAGAATTAATTTAAGAATGATATACGCGAAATTTATTCGCAATTGCAAGAATTAATTTTAAGAATGATATACGCCGAAATTTATTCGCAATTGCAAGAGTTAATTTTAAGAATGATATACGCGAAATTTATTCGCAATTGCAAGAATTAATTTTAAGAATGATATACGCCGAAATTTATTCGCAATTGCAAGAGTTAATTTTAAGAATGATATACGCCGAAATTTATTCGCAATTGCAAGAATTAATTTTAAAAAATGATATATGCCGAAATTTATTCCCAATTGCAAGAATTAATTAAGAATGATTTACACCAAAATTCATTCGCAATCGCAAGAATTGTTGTAAGAATGATTTACACAGAAATTTATTTCGCAATTGCAAGAATTATTTTAAGAATGATTTACACAGAAATTTATTCGCAATCACAAGAATTATTGTAAGAATGATTTACACAGAAATTTATTTCGCAATTGCAAGAATTCATTTTAAGAATGATTTAAGCCAAAATTTATTCGCAATTGCAAGATTTATTTTAAGAATGATTTACGCCAAAATGTATCCACAATTGCAAGAATTAATTTTAAGAATGATTTACGCCTAAATGTATTCGCAATCGCAAGGATTATTTTAAGAATGATTTACGCCGAAATTTATTCGCAATCGCAAAAAATTATTTAAGAATGATTGTTGTTGTTAATAAATGTATTTGCTATTGGAATTATTTAAGAAATTTACACAGAAATGTATTTGTAATTGCAAGAATTATTTTAAGAATTATTTACTCAGAAATGTATTCACAACTGCAAGAATTATTTTATGAATCATTTACCAGGGATGTGATTTTTCCATATTTGGTGTGATGCAATGATGTTACTTTACCTTACTTTAACCTTCAGCACAATCAGCATTCACACTGATCACAGATATGGATGATATTTCCTCTTTAATGCATCACTCGCAAAACCCGCATGAGGAAGTAGATGCTTTACATCCGATGCTTTGCAGAAGAAGCATCTATTTACACACATTTGGTCATGTTGCCATAATTCAATCTTACAGATTGAGACATGAAATCAACACATAATCCTTGCTCAATCTTTCTGCTTCTGCTTTATAGAGTTGTGATATTTATTCATCAGGTCATGAGAGTAATCATACAACAAACTAACTGTATTTAAGATATATGTATTTTAATTACATATTAAATTTCCACATTTAAGCAATGTTCATTCATACTTTTAACTAAATAAATAATTGTAAATTTCATGCTAAATGGTTCATTTTCACGACACTGTTTTCAACTAAAAACTTTTATGCATTTTGGCCATTCATTTACAGGACAACGGTGTTCAAAGTGCAAGTTTTTTAAATTTGATACCGTTATCGTCTCAGTCTAAACTACAAAAGCTCAAATTTGTAAAAACGGTGACGTCATGCGCATTACATGTCCAGTCTGTAATCTTGTGACATCGCCACCTACTGGCCTGACAGCAGAATACAGCTTTTTATCGTTTTCGCGGAAACTTAAAGGAAACGTTTCTGTTTTTAGTACATCGTTGTCATGTAAACGAACACTAATTCAATAGAGAGCCTAAGTCCCTCCCCTTCCGGTCGACCACCATGGGACCTTATTTTGGATAAATATTGTATGGTAGTCAAAGGCGAGAGACAACAAATATTTTGATCTCGTTTGAACTGTGCCCTGAATTACACATATGATGTTTGTCAATTTAAAAGATACATTTTAAAGTCAAGAAAGTCGCAGTTTGATGTAAAACTGTTGAGGTATACGACTGTGAATATACGTAATTACAAAGACTACAAACCCCAAAGGCGCACATTTTCTCTCAATGAATGAAGCTAACTTTACTGAAGTTAACTTTACTGGAGCTAACTTTACTGGAGCTAACTTTACTGAAGCTGACTTTACTGAAGCTAACTTTACTGAAGCTAACTTTACGGAAGTTAACTTTACGGAAGCTAACTTTACTGAAGCTAACTTTACTGGAGCTAACTTTACTGGAGCTAACTTTACTGGAGCTAACTTTACAGAAGCTAACTTTACTGGAGCTAACTTTACTGGAGCTAACTTTACTGGAGCTAACTTTACGGAAGTTAACTTTACGGAAGCTAACTTTACTGAAGCTAACTTTACTGGAGCTAACTTTACTGGAGCTAACTTTACTGGAGCTAACTTTACTGGAGCTAACTTTACTGGAGCTAACTTTACTGGAGCTAACTTTACTGGAGCTAACTTTACTGGAGCTAACTTTACTGCAGCTAACTTTACTGCAGCTAACTTTACTGGAGCTAACTTTACTGGAGTTAACTTAACTGAAGCTAACTTTACTGCAGCTAACTTTACTGCAGCTAACTTTACTGGAGCTAACTTTACTGCAGCTAACTTTACTGCAGCTAACTTTACTGGAGCTAACTTTACTGGAGTTAACTTAACTGAAGCTAACTTAACTGAAGCTAACTTTACTGGAGCTAACTTTACTGGAGCTAACTTTACTGGAGCTAACTTTACTGAAGCTAACTTTACTGAAGCTAACTTTACTGAAGCTAACTTTACTGAAGCTAACGTCTGTCATTGTTTCTATAGTCTTGCGTTATAATCATAACGTTACGCCGTCATGCCTGAGTGTTTTGTACCAGACTGCACACACACGAGCAGCGGATCTCGCTCGTTGTTTCGCTTCCCGGGAGATGTAGTTCATTGAGCAATTTTCACATAAAACTAAATGTTACTCTTCTGTTTTATGACAAACTGCGACTTTCTTGACTTTCAGAATTATCTTTTAAATTGACAAACATCATATCTGTAATTCAGGGCACAGTTCAGACGGAATAAAAAGATAAGTTGTCTCTCGCCATTGACTACCATACATATTTTTCCTGAAATAAGGTCCCATGAGCCGGAAGCGGGGGGGAGGGGCTTAGGCTCTCTATTCACTTGTTGTTTCTTTGTAATTAATTGTGAAATTTACTAGCAATTTCTGAGTGAAATTTGGTAAAGAAACTAATTTGTGTCCCCAGTGTATGAACAGCCACGTTGCAGAAACATAAATGAAGTAAATTAGAAATAAATCTCCCAAAATGCATTTGTCTTCAGGCAGCCGAGCCTCCACAGCGGCTCCGGTGAAGATGGAGGAGGTGAAGCCGGCCGCGGTGAAGACGGACCCTTCCAGTGAGGATGAGGACGGTGATGGAGCCGGAGCTCAAGGAGACATTCAGCCTGTGGGACACGATTATGTAGAAGAGGTGAGACCGCTCAGTCAAACTCTCAGATATTGCACTGGTTACATATAGTTTAAAGGGATAGTTCACCCCAAAATGTAAACTCTGTCAGTAATGACTCTCCCTCATGTTGTTCAACCCCGTAAGACTTTCGTTCATCTTCGGGACACAAATTAAGATATTTCTGATTAGATCTGAGAGCTGGATCACTCCTCCATAGGCTTCTAAGGGATCGAAACTGGCCGGCCCAGAAAAGTTATTAAAGACATCGTTAAAATAGTCCGAGTGACTACAGTGGCTCAATCTTAAGTTTATCAAGCGACGAGAATACTTTCTGTGCGCAAAAAACAAACAAAAATAACGACTTTATTCAACTTTATTCGACTTCGGAAATTAATAGTTGAATAAAGCTGTTATTTTTGTTTGTTTTTTGCGCACAGAAAGTATTCTCGTCGCTTGATAAACTTAAAGGCACACTGTGGAATTTTTGGCCACTAGGGTGCGCTCAACCTGTAATTTTCACGTCTAGTGCCCCTAGAGGCCACAAGCGCCGCAGCATTGTCGCAAAAGTCAACAAACAGTCAACCGGTCAACCTCCCGTGTCTTTATGTGTGTGCAGACGGCATTTGATTTGTATGTTGGAGAAAGTTAATCGATTCACTACTGACCAAAATAATAATATAAATATAAGATTAATAATATAAATCCTATAAAGAAAACAAATTGAATAAAAGTAGCATACGCAGAAAACAATGTCTGATCAGGTAAGTCGCATTGACAAGGGTTGCCCAATCCGCTCCTGCCGATCGTCTGTCCTGCACAGTTCATCTCCAACCCTAATCAAACACACCTGAAGCAAACAATTAACGTCTTCAGGATCTCTTTGCAATGGGTTGGAGATGAAATCGAGTAGTCGGGAAATCGTGTAACAAAACTGATATAACTCACTACATATTTCCGTTATTTGTAGTCTTCAGTTTGTTTTTCCTTTTACACAAATACAAACATATATGAGCTGAAAGGAAAAAAAAAACATTTACATTTGTATACGGCAGTATGTTGTGACTTATATCAGTTTTGTTACACGAATTCGCAGTAAATATTACATTATATATACACTTTTATGCCGATGTTTATTTTAAACTCTCCCTTTTTCTTTTTTTGGTCTCCTCTGACAAAATCTTTGCTTTCTTCGCTTTCTTCCGAGTAGCTGTTGATTCAGCCATGACGACAACATACAGACGCCGGCAATCAAACGCGAGTTGAGCTCTCACGTTAGAATTTGAGGAAGTTGGGGTCGTGGGGGAAGTGACGTATGCCGTAAAGCGGTCGAATTTTGTAGTTCTTTTTGTGCTCGGGTTCCTACCCGAAACCCGAAGTTACATAGTGCTAGTAAAAGCGATACAGACACCTTCAGGCTTCGGCAGACGTGTCATTCAACCTATTGTAAGTCGATGTACCATCTCAATGGGTTTTGGTAATATATTATAAAGGTTGAAAAGTTCCACAGTGTGGCTTTAAGGTTGAGCCACTGTAGTCACCTAAGCGAACCAGGACTAAATGCAGGGCTCCAGACTAACTTTTTTTTACTAGGAGCGCTGTTGCCCCTGACTGAAAATTTTAGGAGCACAAGCAGAAAATTTAGGGGCACACCTTAAATCAGCTTGCAATGCAATTATTCAAATTTCCCCCAAAATAACTGTAATACTGACAAATTCTTTAATAATAAATAGACTTAACGTACAGATATTACGATATGCAGTTTTATTTTAAGTTCACAGGGCTCCAGACTCAAATTTGAGGGCAGCATCACCTCAAATGAGAACTCACACTGAGTTCTACAAAAACAAAAAGAAAACTTCTGGTAGCACTGGGGCTGACAATAAATCACTAGGCTTAATTTAGGGTGTAGATGAAATTAACTTTTGTTATTATTATCATTCATAATGTCTTAATATTAATTAAAAAACAAAAGGAGTGAAAAAATTTATATTAAGGAGTGAACAGCCAATAAACATCCTACTGTTTACAATGTTTTTTTTTTTTTAAATAAGTGTTTAAATAAGATTTAAAAATAAGATAACATTTTTTAGTTTTAGGACAATCTTTGAAGGATGAACAAAAAATGTGTTGGTCATCACATAAAAAAATCAATTTAAAAAAGCATTTATATATGATATTATAGTTTTGAAGTGCTAGAAAAGATGTGTAGGCTGCGTTTGACTATTTCTGTCATCATATTTATGGTTAGAGTTACCTACTACATTAGCCTAAGTCCATGGTGAATGTTGCTGATTTGTGGACTGAAAGCCTTCTATAAGTGTTTCTCCTGGTTTCCACGTCAGCGCTGTTTGATCTGATGATTTATAACAGAACTCTGCGCCGAATCGGATTGTTTCTCACTGGATCTCGTAGCGATGATGTTAATTCTGAGGCGAATTCAATGGATTTCTTCACTGGATCTCCTAGTAACAGTGTCGCGTGAGCGAGATCGGCCCGCGACTGGCATGTTCGGGTCTTTATTTTACTGTCAATGGTTCGGGGCGCTGCTACATTGATATACATAAGAAAGGCTATGCGCTGCTCTGTCTATTATCGGTCCGGAATAATTAACGGTCCGTGAAGCATAAATGAGTAGCGTATTTTCGTTCCACTTTAATTTTGTTTGCATTCGCTGCTTGGTAACGAGTCGATAGATCGCTCTCAGACGCACATCAGCTTGTGATATTTGTCTCCGTGTCCTTCCCACAGACACGCGCGCTCTCTATTCTTGTCACACTCACTCATTCCGGATTCATTGATGCGCCCCTTCCACGCTTAACCATGCGTTTAACGTGAGGCAAATTTACTGGTCGCACATGTGCGACTGGATGTAAAATTCAGTCGCACACTCTCAAATTTTAGTCGCAAAATGCGACCATTTGGTCGCAGTCTGGAGCCCTGAAATGTATCATTTTCTTTTTGGCTCGGACCAAAAGAACCAAGTGAACCGAACTACAAGTGTGTGAAGGCACCCTAAATGAATCTGTCGAATTGGTTCGCGAATCAGATTTATTAGCAAATCAGTCTGGATCAAAAGTGTTTCCTCTAGTAAATGTGTGTGATGCGTAAGGCTGGATATGTGTTGAGGGCTTTGAGTCTTTGAATCATGCGTTTTCCCTCCTCAGGTTCGAAATGACGACGGTAAGGTGATTCGCTTCCACTGTAAACTGTGTGAGTGCAGTTTCAACGATCCCAACGCTAAAGACATGCACCTGAAAGGACGGAGACACCGGCTGCAGTACAAGGTAACGCATCATCAGCCCCCGAAAAACACCAGGACATGCCACAATACCTATATGCCTGTCTAGTGTTGTCAAAAGTACCGACTTTGGTACCAAGTCGATCCTGAAATTAAATAATGTGACGCTTTGAGCGCTGTTGAGCGGAATCGTAAACTCCTCTGATTGGCCATTGTGTTCACGAGCACATCAGAGATGTCTGTGATTGGCTACAGTGATCAGCGCTTCAGAAACATGTTGTAAATGTCAGTCCCTCCAGAAAAACGTGATTATGCGATCGCATGATTTAGTACATAATCAGTCTGCATATTTATGCGGGGGCATTTTTTCAAATACGCCGCATAAATTGCCGATTTCCGTGCAAAATACGCGGGGCTTGCATGATTTCATGATCCTCGCATTTTCGTTGCAAAAAAGTCACATATATCTCAGCAGAAAGTTGAAAAATGTTGCGTTTGCTTCACACGAGAGCCGCCGTTTCCCCCTGTTGCCATGGGAACGTTACGAAGTGACGTAATTACGCGATGTGAACATCATCGAAAAGCTGTAAAACAGGAGCACACTTTATTTTTTTATATTTCATTTCTTCATTTTTACAGAAGTTGTAGCATATTCCTCTAGTAAAGCTACAGAACTTGTTGGACTCATCAATGTTTTGTAAGTTTGATGTGTTTATTAAGGTCTGAAATAACACAAGATGAGAACTGAAATATTCCCAGCACTTTCTGTGATGTATACGCTTGCTTATCATAGGAAGTCATAAGAAATGACTCTTCACAGTAAGGTAGGAGCCTAGTGAGAGCAGGGTGTTGGGGGGAAAAATAACTTTTTTTTTTCTCTATCTTCAAACCGCAGTTTTTGCAAGTTCCCGCAATTTCATCGCATAAAATTGCATAAATATCCCGCATATTTCATCGCATTTTTAAAGAAAACGGGCCGCATAATCAAGGATTTTTGCCCGCAACAATCACAAAAAAGTAGTGCTGTCAAACGATTAAAATATTTAATCGCACATTTTTATCTATTCTAAATGTCTCTTGATTTCTTTTTGTCCCATTATTTTTTCTCATTTTAATGCTCTTATCAACATGGAAAAGTGGATCGGCTTGCTTTGTGCAAATGTTCTTTTATTGAAAACAACATTGACAATACTGTGTTCAATTTCACACTAACATTCTCACTTGGAGCAAATAATCTCTCACACAATGTAACACTGTCCATCAATAAAAGGGTGAAAGAAATACTGACGAGGTCCTGATATTGACGAGGGGGCGGAGAATTCGCATCAGCTGTGTGTGTGTGTGTGTGTGTGTGTGTGTGTGTGTGTGTGCTTGGCCATCATCAAGTGGTGTTTCAGACTGGACGTGCTGCGATGATGATAGCTCAGTTCACAACGACACAACACACAGATCACTTTGGTCTCGTCAATGGAACCATTTGGCAACTTTTTAAAAGTAAATTTTCCATTCAGAATCTTATTGGCATCCATTTCGGCGTCTCACGCTCGTCATCCACTCAAAACGTAACGTTAACCTACTATTTGTCCGGCTCGCAAACCCAAACGAGTGTGTGCGGCGTCGTGCCTGTTGTTTTGTTTCCGGTCTAGCTAGATCCGCTTGCGCTTTGGTCGACAAAGCAACAAAGCGTCCTCGCGCGGCGCGTCCTGTCGCAGAAGCATGTGAAAAAAACGACAAAATTTGCTAGGCCAAACGCGTTAATCGCGCGATAAAAAAATTTACGCCGTTAAAATGGGTGTGCGTTAACGCCGTTAATAACGCGTTTAACTGACAGCCCTACACTTTCAAACACTTCCGTGTGCTCTCAAATCCTCCCATGCGTTGATCATTGTAGCCAATCACAGACATCTCCGATGAGCTCGTGAACACAATGGCCAATCAGAGGGGTTTATGATTCCGCTCAACAGCGCTCAGTGTCACATTTTTAAAATTTCAGTATCGCCTTGGAGCCGAAGTCGGTACTTTTGACAACACTACGCCCGTCACTGAATAATCCAGCAGTTTCAATATTTGACTCGTTTTCATTTCTTGAACTACATGTCTGATACTGTTTCACATTAGCTTCACATTATCAGGGTTGCAGTTATTGACCAGTTATGATTTTTTAGAAAAAAGTGAACCCAGACCTCCCTGTGGAGATCAAGCCCAGCAATCGAGCGCGGAAGCTTCTGGAAGTCAAGCTGCGCAAACAGAAGCAGAAGTCTGTGCTGAAGAGACAGCAAGAGGACGAGCAGCGCTGGCACATGGAGATGAGGTCATCCTCCGCTTTCCCGCCATTTCTGCCCGCACATATCAGAAGTCACAATATTTAGCATGTGCAAAAAAATAACAACATGCATTTCAGTTATATCAGTTACTTCAATCAGAGTCCAAAACATACTGTTGTTTATTTCATCTGGGGTTTTTTTTTATCTAAGAATTTATTTTCAGTCTGTGAAAAGGGTCCATTATTTTGGTGCAAATACTTTAAATATTTGTGTTTTCACAACTTTTTTATAAAATATGCATCTAGAGTAATTAATCATTTTTTTATTTAGGGTCCTCTGGAAAAAAATGCCGGTATATTTTCATATAATGACAAAAAAATAGCAAATGTTATATATAATATTAATATAATTATAAATACAAAATAATAATTTTCACATATTGTTTTGAACATTTATTGCAAATTTCAGAAGGCCTTTTCATTTTTTTTTGAAAAACATTCAAATACAAAAAAATATGCATCTCAATTAACTCCTTCAATCAGAGTCTGAAACATGCTTTTTTATTTCATCAGTTTTTATTGAAGATTTTTTTTTTTGAAGAATATTGGTGCAAAAAATTGTGAATCTTTGACATTTTCACAACTTTGTATCAAACATGATTTAAGTCACTTTGAATAATTAATCTATATAATATATATTCAGCACAATATGAAAAAAAAAAAATATGTATCTTTTATATAGCTATTATATAGCTTTCTTTGTAAAAAACTATAAATATAATAAAAAAAATTTTTTTTTTTTTAGGCATGAAAAACACATTCAAATACAAAAAAAAATGCATCTCAAATAAGAGTCTGAAACACTTTATTTCATCGTTTTTTTATCCAAGCATTTTTTGTTTGAATAATTTTGGTGCAAAAAATTGTGAATCTTTCAACTTTGTATTAGATATGCACCAAACATGATTTAAGAGATTTGAATAACAAATCATAATTTTTACATTCAAGGCAATCTGAAAATATGTCTTTATACCTCCAAACATTTTACATACAATAACTACAATTCAGCAATCTTTAAATCATTTGTGTAATACCGTTTGCAAATATTATACTGTAAATAATATCTATATAATCATTTAATTCGCCAGCATGATTATGTCCTGATTTCTGGGTGTGGTCCAGCAGGAGGTACGAGGAGGACATGTACTGGAGGAGGTTGGAGGAGGAGCAGTTGTACTGGGGGGATCAGAGGCGCAGGATGGCTCCGCCTCCTCTGATGGGCCGGCCCAACATGCCGGTGCCGCCCCTACTGGTCAGTAAACGCACTGACCTCAATCAAGGGCATTCCCAGATAGGACATTTCTCAGGCAGACCAAAACCGATGCTAGAAGATAGTTTAAGGATTAGTTCACGTCAGAATTAAAATTTCTCCCCCACGTCATCCAAGATGTTCATGTCTTTCTTTCTTCAGTCGAAAAGAAATGAAGGTTTTTGAGGAAAACGTTCCAGGATTTTCTCCATATAGTGACTTCAATGGGGTCCAAATGTGAGTTTCAGTGCAGCTTCAAAGTCTCGACACGATCCAGCCGAGGAATAAGAGTCTGATCTTGACAAACCAGCGGCCATTTTATTAAAAAAATAAACATTTTTTTAAATAAACTTTATTTCATCGGTTTTAATTGAAGAATTTTTTTTGAAGAATATTGGTGCAAAAAATTGTGAATCTTTGAAATTTTCACAACTTTGTATCAAACATGATTTAAGTCACTTTGAATAATTAATCTATATAATTTATATTCAGCACAATATGAAAAAAATATATATATGTTTCTTTTATATAGCTATTATATAGCTTTCTTTGTAAAAAACTATAAATATAATAATTAATTATTTTTTTTAGGCATGAAAAACACATTCAAATACAAAAAAAATGCATCTCAAATAAGAGTCTAAAACACTTTATTTCATCGTTTTTTATCCAAGCATTTTTTGTTTGAATAATTTTGGTGCAAAAAATTGTGAATCTTTCAACTTTTGAGGAAAACGTTCCAGGACTTTCTCCATATAGTGACTTCAATGGGGTCCAACGGGTCCAGATGTGAGTTTCAGTGCAGCTTCAAAGTCTCGACACGATCCAGCCGACGAATAAGAGTCTGATCTTGACAAACCAGCGGACATTTTTTACGTAATTTTTTTTTTAATTGACGTGATTTTACGTAATCACGTTGAAAGGTCAAGCGTGACGTAGGCGAAAGTACCGACCCAGTGAATTTGCAAAGACTAAGTCAAATGCCCTTTACAAAAAAAATAAAAGGTAAAACAATGATGTCGGGCGATTTTGAAGTTAGATTATTCGCCCTACTCTACATTTCCCGCCTACGTCCGGTTACCGCCTGACCTTTCCAACGTGAGTACGTAATGCGTGAAGTCGTGGGCGTGCAAGACGAGCATTTGTGGTTAAAAAGTATATAAATGTTTATTTTTTTAATAAAATGGCCGCTGGTTTGTCTAGATCAGACTCTTATTCCTCGGCTGGATCGTGTCGAGACTTTGAAGCTGCACTGAAACTCACATCTGGACCCGTTGGACCCCATTGAAGTCACTATATGGAGAAAATCCTGGAATGTTTTCCTCTAAAACCTTCATTTCTTTTCGACTGAAGAAAGACAGACGTGGACATCTTGGATGACGTGGGGGAGAGAGTAAATTATCAGGAAATTTAAATTCTGACGTGAACTACTTTTAAGTGTGTACAAGCTTTTATTAAATGGTAAACCACACCAATTGTTCTTCAGCCCGTGCGGCGGCCAGATTCGCCCGACGACCGGCACATCATGTCCAAACACTCGGCCATATACCCGGTGGAGGAGGAGCTTCAGGCCGTCCAGCGAATCGTCTCGCATGCTGAGCGCGCTCTCAAACTGGTGTCTGATTCGCTGCTGGAGAAGGAGGCGTGTTCTGCGGACGACGACGCCGATGACGTGACGGACAAAAAGTGAGTACTTTTATTGGCTGCCTGACTTTTTATACTGTTGAATTGTAGCGGGACGTTTAGATTTAAAGGGATACTCCACTTTTTTTTGGAAATAGGCTCATTTTACAACTCCCCCAGAGTTAAACTGTTGAGTTTTACCGTTTTTGAATCCATTCAGCCGATCTCCGGTTCTGGCGGTACCACTTTTAGCATAGCTTAGCATACATCATTGAAGTGGACAAGACCATTAGCATTTCTAAAAAAAAAAAATGACCAAAGAGTTTCGATATTTTTCCTATTTAAAACTTGACTCTTCTGTAGTTACATTGTGCACTAAGACCGACGGAAAATGTAAAGTTGCGATTTTCTAGGCTGATATGGCTAGGAACTATACTCTCATTCCTGCGTAATAATACAGAAACTTCACTGCCGTACCATGAGAGCAGCAGGCGTAATGATATGACAGCGCCTGAAAATAGTTCTGTTGTGTTGACGGAAGGTAGTTTTTTTTTTATAGAACTGCTAATGGTCTTGTCCACTTCAATGATGTATGCTAAGCTATGCTAAAAGTGGTACCGCCAGAACCGGAGATCGGCTGAATGGATTCAAAAACGGTAAAACTCAACAGTTTAACTCTGGGGGAGTTGTAAAATGAGCCTATTTCCAAAAAAAAGTGGAGTATCCCTTTAAGGCCCGTTCACACCAAGGACGATAACAATAAAGATATAGTTTGAAAAATCATTCTCAATATTAAAGAATAGCAGAGTTCACAGCACAGCTATAACGATAACGATATAGAGAAACGATTCAGAACGACTTTTTGAGCGATAAAACACTGACAGCCAATCAGAATCCATCCTAATTTAAGGGCTTGCGCATTTAAAATGGTAGACGAGATTGCGGAGAAGTTAATCGCTGAGGTCAAGAAAAATCCATTTGCTATTTAAACAGCGTGGCGCAGGACGTGAAAATGAAAACTGCGCCGGGCTGAAACTAGCAAAACACACTTGCGTCGCGGCTAGCGCTGTATTCCACCGGGTGTGTGACAGGGCCCGTTATCTTTCATTGGTGTGGACGAGTTATCGTTATAGGGATCTTTATAGTTCTCGTTCTTGGTGTGAACGGGCCTTTCCGCTCTTCCTCTCGGGCAGGTCCGAGTCTCAGGCTCGTGTTCTCAAGGGAGTCATGCGTGTGGGAATCCTGGCTAAAGGTCTCCTCCTGCGCGGCGACCGCAACGTGCAGCTCATCCTGCTAGCGGCCAAGAAGCCCACCGTCACTCTTCTGAGAACCGTCGCGGAGCAGCTGCCCAAACAACTAGCGGTAAGACTGCCTTCTTTTAGGCTTGCGTTAGGATGCATGCAACATAACGTTTATGTCGAAGCTACTGAAAAGCATTATTGATCTGTTAATACTCATATCTTTGCACTTGTGATTTTATCACCTTGTTTCCCTTCTTTTTGGCTGGAAATCACCCACACGAGAAGTCACATGATCACAGGTGTCATGACAGGTCTATTCATAGTGACATGTAGAGTCTGTGGTTGATGTTCAATTTCTTAAAGCTTGGTTGTGAATCTCACAGACACATTCAGGTCAAATTTCACAACAGAATCAGAAGGGATTTTTTTTTTTTTTTTTTTTTTACCGTATACATTTTTAAATGTATTCCAAATACTTCAAATAAAAATATATTTTGCATATTAGTTTTTACTTGACAAGTAAACATTTTCCCTAAAATGTCATTACTATGATTCCATCCAGCTATTTTTGATGCGCATTTTGGGATATCGCATATAAAAAAAAAAAGCGCTGACAAATTGCGCATAGAAAAAACAATTTAGGAGGATTTTTTTTTTTTATCCGATAATAAGACATGCGTTAAACTGCAATGGAAACACATTTACCAAGTAAATCCCTTGATGTGCAACAAAAAAAACTTGCGCGACTTTTCCTCAGCAGAGGCTGTGATTGGATAACTGGACTAACCAGCGGACCAATGGCATCGCTGCATCTCAAATGTTGGTTTGGCGGATCTGAAACACCCGAGTCAAAGTCTGTCATCAGAATGATTTGGTTTAATTCCCTCCGGAAGCGTCTCACACGATTGCGTTCACAAACACGGCGTTTATTGCGTATCGTCCGACACTGTGACTCAATTATAATGGAGGAAAAAGAGCCACGGTTTCTTCCCCGATTGCAGCAACTTCCAATTTTATTACAGATATTTTGCGGCAGTTTCCCAGAAAGTGATGATTTTGTTCTCTTGAACACGTGAGATGGAAACTGTGCTTTTATTCGCAAATGATTAATGTGATATTCACAACTTTGGATGGAAACATAGATATTGATGCAGAGAAAAAAAATCATTACCGTAACATACACATCATTTAAAACCAGCATAGATTTGTACAATACTGTCATTATGTTTTACAAACTAAATTGTGTTCACATTACAGTAATGAGATTGTTGCACATTGCGGTAATGACTAATGACGAGGGGAAAATGTGATGCATGTCATTTAAAATAGCCAAAAACCTTTTCTGATCTTAAAAACACGCTTTATTTACTCGATGCAGGATATAATAAAAAAAAAAATTCCCTTTTGATTTTAGGGATGAAATACGACCCAGACACATTTTGGAGTGTTTATCATGTGATCCACTCATATATTATTAAAAAAAATGCTCTGCTGCTTTTGTGGTCCGTGTATCTTTAACTGATCTTTAGTTCACTGCCTGGTTATGACACCTACAGAGAGAGACTGGGGCGTGTACTTGCTTTACATCGCCATTTAACAAGTGCATTATGGGAATATATGGCTCCACTGGGACTATAAGGGACAAAATACAAAGCCCATTTACTCAGGCCCCCGCCGTCTCCTCTGTAGTAATGCAAAGTGTCCTTTTAACCGGCAGACCTTTTCTGAAGATCAGTATGAGGTGCAGGTACACCCTGAGGAAGCCAACATCGTCATTTTTTCAAGCAAGGAACCAAAAATGCAGGTCACCATCTCTCTTACCTCGCCAGTGATGCGCGAAGACCCCGTCCCCAACATGGAGAAAGGTTAGAGAACCCGTGCTTTCCCTCAGCAGCACTATATGTGTAAAAAACACAACAAAAACAAGGATATTTCCATGCAGAGAAATTGTCATCAGTGAATTGGCCTTCCTGTTCATTTTTATTCCCCTTCATTTTCTTTTCTTCTTTTCTTTCGGTGTAGTCCATTTATTTGCCCTCGTTCGGTTTTGCGTTGTTTTCTGAAAGTGTTTAAAGGAATCAAAAACAGGATCTCTGACCTTTCTTTACCACTGTGGCGCAATATTGTACAAGTTGTGTTGTAAGACTTCAGGATGAGAACGATTTTTAGCTTTGACCACAATCTTCTCCATGCCAAGTTTTTCATATATATATATATATATATATATATATAATAAAAGTGGCGGTAAACGATGTGTTGGGAGTGACAATCGCATTTATTTTTTGCATGTGTGCAGAAAACAGAAGAAATTGTGATTGTTGCCATTTTCATAAGATCGTCGTTTTTTAACATTTTAAAACACTTCAAGAATGAAGTTGCTAACATTTTATTGTTAATAATAACAATTTATATATTATTAGGGCTGTGCAAAGATTAATTGTGATTTAATCACATCCAAAATAAAAGTTTGTGTTTACATAATATATGTGTGTGTGCGCTGTGTATAATTATTCTGTATATATAAATACACACACATGCATGTATATATTTTAGGGTGTATTCACACCTGCCCAAAAGATCCGCTCGAAAAGGGGAATCGAACTTGAGTTGAATCTAAGGGTGTATTCACACCTGCCCTTGTTTGGTTCGATTGAATCGAACTCTAGTTCGTTTCCCCCCTTGGTGCGGATCTTTTGAGCAGGTGTGAATACAGCAATCGAACTCGGGTGCGGACCAAACAACCGAACCCAGACCCAGCTGAAGAGGTGTCTCGGTACGCTTCCAAACGAACTCTGGTACGGTTCGTTTACGGTGTGAACATGAACCGACCCAATTGCAAGAAAGCACTGCGCCTTTGAGTTAACAGGCTTCCGTAGTCGGAGATTTTGGCATAATGGTTTGTGTTATTGTTGTTCAATACGCGCTGTCTGGCCACACGATACTGTTGCGCGTCTTTCTGCGCGTCGTGTGTGTGCGTCACTGGAATGAATGAATGAATGAGTGTGTGCATCAGGACATTCACATACAGAGCTTCTCTTTAGTCTAATCGCACATAGATGCAAAAAAAGCTTTTGCAGTTCATATAATGTAACGCTAGTTACAATACAAGGATGATGCTGCGTTAAACTGGACAAACTTAATCGCAAGCGTTAACATTGACAGCACTTGTTAGCAGTGGCCTATATACAATAAGAATCTCATTATTTGAATGTGTGAACAGCCCCCTTAGATGTGTATTTTCTATGAATGAAAACTTTATACCTTATCCGTCTTCTGCGCAGTTTCTTCATATTGCGTTTGTACAAAATTAGTAAAATAACAAATATTGCAGTACGAAATATCTCCATGCTGAGCCTTTTTTTGCACTTCCTGATTTCCCTACTTGAGAATCCTTGTCCAATGAATGGACGACCTTAGCACACGTGTGGTTTTGTTTACAAATTTTGGTTCACTTGCAAAAAGAGCAGTGTGAAAGCGAACCGTACCAAAAAAAAAAAAAAAAAAAAAATTATTTGGTCCGGACCAAAGCAAGTGAACTATCGGACTTTCCCGGTGTGAATACACCCTTAGAAAATGTGTTATTCATATGTAAAATATTTATATTTATATATAATATAGATTATTTATACAGTATTTACGTGCAAATAATTCTTAAATATATACATGCATGCATATGTATTTATTTATATATACAAAATAATTATACACAGCACACACACATATATTATGTAAACACAAACTTTTATTTTGGGTGCGATTAATCGCAATTAATCTTTGCACAGCCCTAATTTTTATTGAATTTATTTTAAAGTAACCGTAACATTATTATATAATACATTATAATATTATATAGAATAAAACTGATTTATATATTTATAAATATATATAAATATTTTGTTTTATATGCAGTGGGATCCAAAAGTCTGAGACTTTTACATTTTTGACATATTGTTTAATCAAATTATAACAATTTGCGTAAATGTTTACCTTATTTATTTATTTTTATTTCGTAAAAACAAGCTATTTTTTTCATACATCGATTCAGTTGTGAAATGTATTTGTCACTCCTGTAAATAAACTCTACTAATGCACTACAATATGTTGGGACTGCCGATGTATGAATAGTTTTAAAGGAGCTGTATGTAAGATTGTGGCCAAAACTGGTACTGCAATCACTTTCAAATTACTGTAGAGCGGTGTATCCCCTCCCCCTCCTCCCTGACTCGAGGTTGCCAGATAGGCTGCAGGATCCAGCAGGAACGTGACGAGCTGCAGCTGTGGTAACTAGAGCAGAGCTGGCAACCCGGATGCCGCAACACTACTGACTTTGTGATTGGTAGATAGGTGGAGGGAGGAGCATCAGACCAAAACACAACATGACAACATCAACATCAGTTGAGGGCTGCAACTTCACTTTTTAAATGACAATATCCTGGCCGGACTACTGTTGTCAGTGATATAAGTATTTGAAATGAACATGATTTCTTTATGTCTAGTGACATATCAGGGCCATTTTATGATTAATTGAAATAAATGTCTTACATACAGCTCCTTTAATAGTTTTTTTGATAGTGATAACAGTAAAATTTTGGAGTTTCATGTCTGTAAATAAGACTAAATCTAATCTACAGTTTAACTCGATTGGTATATTCAACCGAACCGACGGAGAACGGGGATTTTCTCATCCACCATGTGAAACAATTCGTCCTTTCATCCTGAAGTTTTCGAACGGTGACCTCAAACAACCTCTGAAATTCCGACTTGTAACCTGAGGTCATTGTGAAGACTGTTTTATTTTGCTAACGATATTCTCAATTCTGCTTCTTTCAAACCACCAAACGGTTTATATCTCTCTATATTTGTCCTGTTTGGGTTTGTTAATCATTCGCCCTCGGCTGCATCAACAGACCCAAGCAATAATACTTGCCATTTACATCTTTTGCATAACATTGCAACAATTTTTTTAGGAACCTGGAGGTGTTGGAAAAACCCTTGTATTGTGACATTTTGGTGTTGTCACTTTTTTGTGTGTTGTAATGATCACATTAACACTACCTAGTTTGACAAAACTTTTTGTTTTATTTACTTTACAATACTTTTATAACAAGATCTACTTACTTTTTTATTACGATTACTAAAGCATTAAATACAATTGATGACGTGTGTCCTCGCAGTGTCGGAGAAAGACCCTCCGGATGTCCTCAACCGGATCAAGTGCCTTGAGTATTTAGCGGCTCTGCGACATGCTAAATGGTTTCAGGTAAAAAAAACTTTTAAGAAAACTTAAAATACACTTAATATTTCAATAAATACACTTTGAGTTTGCTACTCTACAAGCTTCTCACACTAAACTTAAAATATAAAGTAGTTACATACAGACGTAACGTAAAAAACTGAAAAAGTAATAGCTATTCTACACATTACTAGCAGAAAGTGGTTAAATACAGTGAGTTTAAACTCCAGATTTACTTGATAGCTTAGATAGCGGGGAAAGCGACACTTAGCTACTGAAATGCTACTGGCGTTAGCCTAAACCTGAAACATACTTTACGCTTCTATCAACGCAAGTTTGATTTCATTCGTAGTTGCGCTCCTAAATGTGTCTGAGCGCAATTAGTAACGTATCGCTAGTGCATTTTATTCTTAGTACTGCAACAAATGTGTTTAGTGGACATTAGCGTCAGTCAGTTTTCTCTCTGAAGTCGACGACTGTCATGTTGAAAAAACAATTAGAAACTAACATCGCGATGCGTTACGAATTCTCGTTATTTCCACAAGGGGCGCTGTAGTGTACGTTAGCTAAACTAGTAGCCAGTTTTCTCTCAGGTCAACTGTGGTCATAGCAGAACAACAATTTGAAGAAAATCTTACTGGGCTAGTTAGTTAATATAAGCTATAAGTTAATGTAAGTATAATAAGTTGATTATCAACATGTTTGCTAGCTAGTTAGCTGAATAATAAGTAAGCGTTAAGTATTTTCAATTGAACTGGTAGCTTACAAGTGTTTGCATACTTAAAGTATGTTTCTGACTTTTGACTCAACCGTTGTTCAGAACAGTGTAATTGTATTAGCATTTTAGCACTAGCACTTATGTTTATGTTAACAACTGAAATGCCATTTTTAGCTAAGATTATGTTGCGTATTAATGATTTTTGTCCACAGGCTCGGGCAAACGGTCTTCAATCTTGCGTCATCATTATTCGGGTTCTGCGGGACCTGTGTCAGCGCGTACCTTCCTGGGGCAAGATGCCCGACTGGGTCAGTTAGCCTTGTTCGCTAACGGTGATTTTAGCTTCAGCTAATAATGGGCGTAATCAGTAATGAGTTGTTTTTCTTTCGCGAAGGCTATGGAGCTGCTGGTGGAGAAAGCCATTAGCAGTGCAACCGGTCCGCTAGGCCCCGGAGAGGCTCTGAGGAGGGTCCTCGAATGCATCACCACTGGGATTCTCCTGCCTGGTAGGAGTTCATTTAGGAACTTTAATATACTGTTGTAATATTTATAAAAACATTTCATTATCGTTTATTTTTATATTTCTGTTTCCATTTTAATTCTAGTTTAAGTTTGAATAATTCTGTCGGGCTTTTGGCATTTTTATTAATACATGTTTTCCAAAAAATTTCTATTTACCTTTCTATTGTATTCCAGTTCTAGTAATTTTTGTACTTTTTAAATTTAACTTATTTTATTTCAGTTAGTTGTTAAGTCAACATTTCTAATTTTCGCTTACATTTTCTAAATTTACGTTTTTCATCTAATATTTATTTCGTATAGAAGCCAAGGCAACATTTCTCATTTACATTTTATAAGTTTAAGTTTTTCATCTAATATTTAATTCAGTTAGTTGCCAAGCCAACGTTTCTAATTTTCATTTTAAGTTTTATACGTTTTTCATCTGATATTTATTTCAGTTAGTTGCCAAGGCAACATTTATCGTTTTTGTTTAAGTTTTTCATCTAATATTTAGTTCGGTTTATATTTTATAAGTTTACATTTTTCATCTAATATTTATTTAATTTAGTTGCCAAGGCAACATTTCTAATTTTCATTTTAAGTTTTTTAAGTTTTTCATCTGATATTTATTTAATTTAGGTGCCAAGGCAACATTTCTAATTTTGATTTTAAGTTTTATATGTTTTTCATCTGATATTTATTTCAGTTAGTTGCCAAGGCAACATTTCTAATTTTTCAAAGTTTAAGTGTTTCATCTAATATTTATTTAATTTAGTTGCCAAGGCAACATTTCTAATTTTCATTTGAAGTTTTATACGTTTTTCATCTGATCTTTATATCAGTTAGTTGCCAAGGCAACATTTCTCGTTTTTGTTTAAGTTTTTCATCTAATATTTATTTAATTTAGTTGCCAAGGCAACATTTCTAATTTTCATTTTAAGTTTTTTAAGTTTTTCATCTGATATTTATTTAATTTAGGTGCCAAGGCAACATTTCTAATTTTGATTTTAAGTTTTATATGTTTTTCATCTGATATTTATTTCAGTTAGTTGCCAAGGCAACATTTCTAATTTTTCAAAGTTTAAGTGTTTCATCTAATATTTATTTAATTTAGTTGCCAAGGCAACATTTCTAATTTTCATTTGAAGTTTTATACGTTTTTCATCTGATCTTTATATCAGTTAGTTGCCAAGGCAACATTTCTCGTTTTTGTTTAAGTTTTTCATCTAATATTTATTTAATTTAGTTGCCAAGGCAACATTTCTAATTTTCATTTTAAGTTTTTTAAGTTTTTCATCTGATATTTATTTAATTTAGGTGCCAAGGCAACATTTCTAATTTTGATTTTAAGTTTTATATGTTTTTCATCTGATATTTATATCAGTTAGTTGCCAAGGCAACATTTCTCGTTTTTGTTTAAGTTTTTCATCTAATATTTATTTAATTTAGTTGCCAAGGCAACATTTCTAATTTTGATTTTAAGTTTTTTAAGTTTTTCATCTGATATTTATTTAATTTAGGTGCCAAGGCAACATTTCTAATTTTGATTTTAAGTTTTATATGTTTTTCATCTGATATTTATATCAGTTAGTTGCCAAGGCAACATTTATCGTTTTTGTTTAAGTTTTTCATCTGATATTTATTTAATTTAGGTGCCAAGGTACCATTTATAATTTTTCAAAGTTTAAGGGTTTCATCTAATATTAATTTCTGTTAGTTGCCAAGGCAGCATTTATAATTTTCGTTTAAGTTTCATGTGTTTAAGTTTTTCTTTTATTTATTTTTTATACAATTTATTAATTACATTTCTTTTTTTTCTATTCTCTTTTTATTTGGAAGAGCAAATACCCATCACATGCATTAATTACAACTTTGGTCGTTCAAGTACATATGTAAGGGTGGATTCAGAAAGTTTACATGAGATTGTCCACATTGCCCTTCTGAAATTTTCTTTTACATACTACTACTTATTCGTGTTTAAGTTTTTCATCTAATATATATTTCATGGAACGTCTCTCCAACGCTCAGATGGTCCAGGTCTTCAAGACCCCTGTGAGAAAGGTCAAACGGACTCTCTGGGAAGCATGTCGAAGCAAGCGAGGGAAGACGTGACCGCGAGCGCACAGGTACTAAACGGGTGTGACTTGCCCACATTTCCATCCATCTCACTGTAGCTGTTCTGAAAGCGCTGTGTGTTTTTCAGCACGCACTGCGACTGCTGGCTTTCCGTCAGATCCATAAAGTTCTGGGCATGGGCTCCTTAGCGGCCTCTAAAGCCGCCGCTCGAAACCGCAAGAGGCGGCGAGAGGCCAGCGACCCCGGGGAGGGAGAAACCGACGGAAAGAAGGATAAAAAAGAGGATTCCAACCATCCTTGAGATGTCTGCGTGATCTTCTACGTCCTCTACAATGTATAAATATCACTCAAAGAGGAAAAAATAGCACTTGATGGTTCCGTTTTCTCAAAAGGACAAGAAATGGAAAAAAACAATAGTTCCCCTTTTATGATGTAATACGTCGTTCTATTACATCTGAGCTGCAAATAGGCCGAAATGCTCATGAGGTTCAAACCGACATATAAAATAAACCGAGTTACTGAACCATTGTCACGTTAGCTCTATTAGGCACTTTCACATATTAATGGCACTTAATTAAAAGCTTTAATTATCTCGACACAGGCCAGTCTTTTTTATGTTTACATCAGATATATAGTGGGGCCTAAAAGTCTGCGAACACATTGAGATTTTAATTTTTCACACATTTCAACGTGGAAATAAACACGTTTCATGATTTCGAAAAATTTACAACAATCATTGGAACAAAATAAGAAATATTTCAGATTCTGCACTGAACTAATGAAACGACGGCGAGTTGATAACATTGAATATGTAAACGGAGGGTCATTTACCGCAAATTGTTATAATTTGATTAAAAAATATATTTTTTGGCGGGGAAAATGTAAAAGCCTCAGACTTTTGGATCCCACTGCATATAAAACAAAATATTTAGATATATTTATAAATATATAAATCAGTTTTATTCTATATAATATTATTATAATGTATTATATAATAATGTTATGTATGATGTGAATGCAAAGAAATAAGTTGTATCTTTAAAAAAAAAAGACGTTTTTAAAATAGGTAGTTCACTAATAAGCTGTTTAAAGCGCCACGAATCAGCTTTGTGTGGTTGTTTATTAACCCGACACTGGATTTATACACGTTTAGGTATCAGATCTGAAACCGCTTGAGGGCAAAAATGCACAAAAATAGACTCCGCTATCATTATTTTTATTTGCATACTGAATAATCGCTCATTTCACAGTGAGAAGACAGGGTATCGACGCGTTAGCTTCGCGAGTCTGTGGTTCTTCACACGTGCCTGCGCTAAAGATTTAAAGTACTTGAAGTGTGAACGAGGAGGGGAATTTACGGTTCTTCATATTGCAATATAATATAATGTAATAATTCCTCTCTATTCTTAGGTTTTTTATACAAAGGAGTAAAGATTGCTATTAGCACATTAAAATTGATCGCCTGGATTATGTTCTGCCACCTGTTTCTATGTATAATGCAATCGGCATTTTTAAATGTTCCTGCTGAGTGTTTGTTCTCGTTTTGTAGGACCGTGAAAAATGATATTGTGATCTTTCTTTTGGAATATCGGTGTAGTGCTGCTTAACTAAATAAACAGAAAAACCATCGGGCTAAACTGTGTGTGTCTGTTTTGGCTCGAGTTGAAGCAGGTCAGCTGGGGTTTTTTTCTTTTCTTTCTTTTTATCTTGTCATAAATGGGGTGGAAAAACACGTCAGAGCTGCGATATCAGGAGGAAGTGAGCTCGTGTGTGTAATAAACCTCTGATGAGTGTGTAACCGCTCACATGGACTAAGACACAAGCAACACGATCTTCTGCCACCCGAACCAAGTCCTGCTGGTGAAAGACCCTTGGAAACATCATTTAGGTCGGTTGACATTTTGTGCATTTAAGCATCTTCATTTTAACTACGTTTTGGGTTTTTAAGGTTAAGTGGTCAATTCAGTTTAGGTTTTTTTGGACCATTTTTTAACATTTTAAAAGGCTTTTTTGCAGTCAAGGGGTTATGTAGTGTGACATTATTACAAATTATTGTAATATATATGTATATGAATATTATTGAGGTTTTTTAATAATCTTTTAGCTTTTTTGCAGTCATGGTGTCATGTGGTTTTACTTATTTAATTATTTTGTGTATTGAGGGTTTTTAAAATAAATTATTTGGGCCTTTTAGCTTTATTGTTTTGTTTTTTAAATGTGGTGTGAGAAGTTGGGTATTGATTTATTAACAAAAAAACGTATTCAATTCAATTCAAATTTATTTGTATAGCGCTTTTCACAATACATATTTTTTCAAAGAAGCTTTACAGAAAGTGCATTTCAGAAATGTACATAGAAAAAAAATTCAGTTAGTTAATCATGTATTAATTTAGGGCATAACATATCGCCGGCGTTGAGTCGTCTCTTCACAAGCGTCGAGTTTTTTGGGCCTATTTTCCACCATAAATGTGACTTCTTTATTAAATTTAAGTGCATGGAGTTTTGTAAATGAACTTTTTGCATTTCTTTTTTTGTGGCCATGTGGTGTGAAGTTATTTTAACATCTTGAAGCTTGAGGTTCTGCAGAGCTGTTGATGTTCGGTACTCTGTAAACACATGGACATGGTAAGCGAGACGTCTTGTTAAATGTCAGAAACCTCGATGTTCTTCTCACATCTTTAACCTCTTACTCTAGAAGAAATGGACGGCAGGAACGCAGTGCGTCGCCAAAAAGGAGCACTTCAAACCTAAAGCGGGGGCGATACCGTACCACAAAGGCGACGTCTTGACTCTCGTGGGGCCTGGAACGGTAAAACAAGCTACTTTCTTTCTAAAAACATTCTCCTATACAAGGTTACGTTCACACAAAGAGCGATGACAATAATAATCGTGCTAACTCTACAGCAATTAGCAGTTATAACGATGATAACACAGAGAAACTACATTGTCTGAATAACTTTTCGATCGTTTTTTCATGATTGATAAAAACGGACGAGCGGTTAAAGAGCGCGAAAGCAGCAGATAACAATAGCGCGCACTTCCGCTCAAAGCGGTGCTATAATGCCCTTTTCACAGGATGTTAAAGTCTCTGATGTCCTCAGAGTGTGTGTGTGAAGTTTCAGCTCAAAATACCCCACAGATATTTGTATATAGCATGTTAAAGTTGTCACTTTTTGAGGGTGAGCAAAAACGCACTGTTTTTGTGTGTGTCCCTTTAAATGCAAATGAGCTGCTGCTCCCGGCGCAGGGGGCGGAGCTACAACAGCAATCTTCATGATTTACATCATGAAAATTTCAAAAACTTTTAGCCTCTTATGTTCAAACCGGAGTCAGACAATGATTCTGTCATGATAATCTATAAATCGTGTTCCCGGGGGCGGGGTTTATGTTAATTTTAGGAAGCTCTTGTAATTCCTACCAGTTGTTTGTTGTAGTCCTTAAAAAGCTATTTCTTGTAAAGCAAATATCTCCCTTTGCTTTGAACGTTGAGCGTTGTAACTTAAAGGAAAAGTGAAATCATAATCAACCACCCCTTTAAAATAAACAATGTTTTCGTCAGTTGGTGTGGACGGACCTTAACTATAATTATAAATATATTATATAATCTATAATAATAATAAGTCCACACCACAGATATAACGATGATACTTTTGGAGTTTTTTTTTTCCCCAGCTGATTAAGGATAAAAAACATTTACAGCCAATCAGAATCCACCGAGCATTTAAAGCTACAGGTGCACGCTTAAAGGAACAGTTCACCCAAAAATGGAAGCAAAATATCCATATTATAGTTTATAACATTTTAAATATGGATATTTTTCTTACAAAAACCCATCACTTCGCTTCAGAAGGGCATTTATTAACCCACTGGAGTCGTACTGATTACTTTTATGATGGATGGACGAGCTTTTTTGGCATTATAAAGCTGGGAAGAGCCAGGGTATTTTTAATATAACTCTGATTGTTTTTGGCTGAAAGAAGAAAGTCATATACACCATGAATGGCTTGAGGGCGATGGACATATGGGTGAACTATTCCTTTAATAATCAGAACGGTATTAAAGGGTCAGTTCACCCAAAAATGAAAATGATGTCATTAATGACTCTCCCTCGTGTCGCTCCAAGCCCGTCAGACCTCCGTTCATCTTCAGAACACAGTTTAAGATATTTTAGATTTAGTCCGAGAGCTTTCTGTCCCTCCATTGTAAATGTGTGTACGGTATACTGTCCTTGTCCAGAAAGGAAATAAAGACATCATCAAAGTAGTCCATGTGACATCAGTGGGTTAGTTAGAGTGTGTTGAAGAATCGAAAATACATTTTGGTCCAAAAATAACAAAAACTAGGACTTTATTCAGCATTGTATTGTGTTCCGGTTCTGTTGTGGATCCGCGTTCAGTGCCGCTGCTGACGTGTGTCTGGTGTGTGTGTGTGTGTGTGTGTGTGTGTGTGTATTCTGGTTCTGTTGTGGATCCGCGTTCAGTGCCACCGCTGACGTAAGACGCTGCTGACGTGTGTCTGGTGTGTGTGTGTGTGTGTGTGTGTGTGTGTGTATTCTGGTTCTGTTGTGGATCCGCGTTCAGTGCCACCGCTGACGTAAGACGCTGCTGACGTGTGTCTGGTGTGTGTGTGTGTGTGTGTGTGTGTATTCTGGTTCTGTTGTGGATCCGCGTTCAGTGCCGCCGCTGACGTGTGTCTGGTGTGTGTGTGTGTGTGTGTGTGTGTGTGTATTCTGGTTCTGTTGTGGATCCGCGTTCAGTGCCGCCGCTGACGTAAGACGCTGCTGACGTGTGTCTGGTGTGTGTGTGTGTGTGTGTGTGTATTCTGGTTCTGTTGTGGATCCGCGTTCAGTGCCGCTGCTGACGTAAGACGCCGCTGACGTGTGTCTGGTGTGTGTGTGTGTGTGTGTGTGTATTCTGGTTCTGTTGTGGATCCGCGTTCAGTGCCGCCGCTGACGTAAGACGCCGCTGACGTGTGTCTGGTGTGTGTGTGTGTGTGTGTGTGTGTATTCTGGTTCTGTTGTGGATCCGCGTTCAGTGCCGCCGCTGACGTAAGACGCTGCTGACGTGTGTCTGGTGTGTGTGTGTGTGTGTGTGTGTATTCTGGTTCTGTTGTGGATCCGCGTTCAGTGCCGCTGCTGACGTAAGACGCTGCTGACGTGTGTCTGGTGTGTGTGTGTGTGTGTGTGTGTGTGTGTGTATTCTGGTTCTGTTGTGGATCCGCGTTCAGTGCCACCGCTGACGTAAGACGCTGCTGACGTGTGTCTGGTGTGTGTGTGTGTGTGTGTGTGTGTGTATTCTGGTTCTGTTGTGGATCCGCGTTCAGTGCCGCCGCTGACGTAAGACGCTGCTGACGTGTGTCTGGTGTGTGTGTGTGTGTGTGTGTGTATTCTGG